TTAAGAAAATTTGTCTATTATATAATTGACAAATATATTTTCCCAGTTTGTCATTTGTCTGTTGATTCTGTTTATGATGTTTATATTCCCATGGGAAAATTCTGTTTACATAACTGAATGTGAAATAACATGATCTTTGACTTATGATAGTTCCACTTGTGATTTTTTTGATGTTGTGATAGTGCAAAAATATTATGCATTAATTAGAAACCGTATTTCAAAATTTGATTTTTATCCTGGCTAGCGATATGTGTGGTACAATACTCTCTCATAGTGATATGAGCAAGATCATGAGGGCAAACAACCGACTCTATCATAAACTGTGTTGCTAAGCTATATGTTCAGTAGGTTAGGTGCATTCAGTACACTTTTGGCTTATGATATTTTCAATTTATATGGACTTATTGTGATGTAACTTCATTATAAGTGAAGGAGCATCAATAGTTGGGTGTGGTGGGACCTGCAGCTCAGGAGGCTGAGGCAGGAGGATCACAAGTTCAAGGCCAGCCTCAGCAAGTTAGTGAGGCCCTAAGCAGTGAGACCCTGTCTCTAAATAAAATATAAAAAGGGCTGGTGAATGTGGCTCAGTGGTTAAGTGTACCTGAGTTCAATTTTCAGTATTTAAAAAAAAAAAAAAAAAGAGCATCAGTATAAAAAGTCCCTCATGATTTGTTGTAGTACTTTTATGATTTCATTTTTAAGTATTTACCCTTCAGGAATTTGTTTTGGTATGTTGTCAGGTATGGCTATTTTATTTTATCTCAGAAGGCTATAGCCATCAAGATAATTTATTGTAAAATATATCATTATCTCCAGTGATTGAAAGATCATCTTTGCCATTATACATTTAAGTCTATCGTTGGTCTTATTTTCTAGATTTTTGAGTCTGTTTCATTAAAACAGTCTGTCTATTCATGAACCAGCTGTTCACAGTAGTTTTTTTTAATGTTTTGATTTTGGATGTCTAGCCTCCAGAACTGTGAGAGAATAAACTTCTGTTGTTGTAAGCCAGTCTGTGATAATTTGTTACAGCAGTATAACAGGAAACTCTATCAGGAAACAGATTCAGTGGTAAAGCTACGTTCTGAATGGATATGCAGAGATATTCATCTCTGTTGTTAAGAGTATTTGTGAGGAGAAGTGGAGAGGTTGTCCATATAACTCAATAGCCTGTGGGATGTTAAGGGATGAAGGGGTGAGCTTTGTGTTCTGTGTACTCTTCACTCTCTCCACTGTCTGTGTCCAGGAGGCTGACCTCCTAGGACTGCCTCCACCCAACTTCTTGCCATTTGCTTCTTCTTGGGTTTGGCCAATGCCAAGCATTAGCAAGTAATTGGAAGGTGGCTCCCTCCACATGGGGTCCTAGGTACATATCTATGCCTAAACTCCTAGCTCTGGTCTTGTGACCTTCTGCAGATTCAGTTCTTGTTATTGGTTGGCTGCAGCACCCATTCTTGTCTTTTCCCTTTCAAATCTCCAGATGGTAAGAGCTTCCCACTGATACTAGCCCCAGAACACTACACCAGTCTCTTACTCATTTTCCCCAACTCTGCCCACATCCCCTCAAAAGACCTATACTTTAAACTTCCTTCAGAACTCCCTTTTGAACATACCAGGTGTTTCTACCCAGATCTTAATCAATCTGGGGGAACCACCATTTTGAGTGACATACAAAGCAGTAACTCCAGCCTCCTGGGCTCTTGCTTCCACCTGCTCATTTGGAATCAACTTAACAATCCTGACAATTAAGGGAAGCCACTTCTGCTCTGATGGGAGTCCGAGCCCCCTAGGAATGAAAGCTGCTCAGGAACTATGGAAATCTAGGAGAAGCCTGTCTTCTTTTCTGGGTTACTCCCACATAAATTCCCAAGCAGGGCTGCCTGTATCCCAGGGGTTTCCACCCCATCCAGGAACTTAGATAGGTGTGAACCTGAACTGCTAGGTATTTGAGTGACAGAACTGCTCCTCCCTCTGGAGCTTTAGAGGGATAGGATCATTCACCCCATCAAGCTTACAGGGCAGGCACCTCCTTTAATTGAGATGAGCTTTCTCCTTGGAGGCCTCTCATTTCTCATTTTAAACAGACTCCTGGCAGGGTGAGCTCCCTGTTGCCAGACATGCCTAGACATATCTAATTCTACTTACACTTGGGCTGGGATCCTTCTAGACAATGTTGGGAAGGTAGATTTGGCCCTTGCTGCAGAAGGCCTCCAATCAAACAAGTTTTAACCTAATATTGTAGTTCAAAAATCACTGAATGGAATATATTTGAGCTGGGGAGAGACTTGGATCAAAAATTGTTAAAGAGTTTAGCTTCTTGCTTTCCCTCTAGCTAAGAGGTGCCCAGAGAGGTGCCATCAAGGCACTCTCTACCTGTTTTATTTCCAGTAGAGTATTTATCATTCCCTGAAATCACACTGTTTCCTTTTTCTTCCTTTCCCTAATTCCATAAGGGCAAGGAGATACTCTGAGGGCCTGGCTCTTAGTAGATAATCAATAAACAGGTGTTGAAATTGTTGAATCAGGGGATTGAGGCTGTAGCTCAGTGGTAAAGTGCTTGCCTTGCATATGTGAGGCACTAGGTTCAATCCTCAGTACCACATAAAAATAAATAAAGATACTGTGTGTTTATCTACAACTAAATAAATATTAAAAAAAAAAAAGAAATTGTTGAATCAACTTGGTGTAATGAATGAATGCAGATGAGGAAGCCTGGAGCAGGCAAGGGATACAGTGACTTGTTTAAGGGTTCACAACTCATTACTGGCAAAACTGGGTGAAAACCAGGCTCTCTGGCCATATTCACTGCATATACATGAACAGGCAGGAGGTGGGGGTGAGTTTGTAGAAAGGGTGAGGAAAGGAGGAGGGGATTTCTGGGAAGTTATGATGATTATGGACCAGACTTGAGATAGGGAAGAAGAGACAACATCTAGGAAAGGAAAATTAATACTTGTTGGGCACCTACTCTGTGCTAGGCACTATGCCAGATGCTTTACCTGTGTGGTGTGATTTATACCTCTGCTGTAGGAATCATTATCCCCATTTATTTAAATTTTCTTTTTTAGTTGTAGATGAACACAATATCTTTATTTATTCATTTTTATGTGGTGCTGAGGATCGAACCCAGTGCCTCACACATGCAAGGCAAGCGCTCTACCACTGAGCCCCAGGCCCAGCCCCATTATCCCCATTTTTATAAACTAAGGAAACAGAGGCACAAGAGTTTAATTTGCCTTCTTTTACCCATTTATGAAGTATCTAATGCCTAAGTTTGACCTCTTCCCTTCTTCCACATGGCCTTATTGGACATAGGATTAAATCTGGGGGTTTTCCTTAATGATGGCCACTGTGCCTGGGAAGTGGGAAGGGGAATACAAGAATGAAGCATTCATTCAGAGGAGCAGGGTGTGTGGCTCTTATCTTGGTTAGGAGAGAAACAGAAGCACAATAAGGCAGGGCCTCTTTGACACAGAGCACAGTTAGGGATGGGAAGGGTAGAGAGCATTAGAGATCAACCCTAAGGTTCTTTGCCACTTGAGAGGCAAGACCAGGAGTCAGTTAGCTAGAGCTAACACAGATCACCTTTTCCCTCTCTGAGTTCCAATCTGGGGACCAGAACTGGGGGTGGGGTGTGGTGGGCTAATTCAAGTCCCAACTAGGAGTAGCCTAAGCTCCTCCCCAGTCCCAGTTGGGCCCCTTGCCTGTACAGACACATAGATAGCCCTGCAGCCCAGATGTTCCAGGGCAGGCCTAATTTAAAATCCACGTTGCTTTGTCCCCATAGGCACACTTGTGCCTATCTGACCCTGGCTCTTGATTTTGGTTTGGAAAGTAAGTTCTCTGTGTTCCAAATGCAGACCCTGCCTCCACATCACTGGGTTCTTGTCAGGGCACAGGTCTGTATAAGGTATTCTTTGTGCCTGTGGGACCTGAGTTTTGAAGGTGGCCCCCAGTCCAGGTCTAGTCCCAGACCACTTATGTCAGCTGGCTGGCAGGCCGCTGTAGGTCAAGGGTGAAAGGAGACCTCGGGAGGTTATGCTACCAATCAGATCCTCCCTGTCACTCCCCTCACAGCATAACTCATACTTGCTAAAAAGGGCTTTCATAAACAACTCAAGTCTGAAAACTCCGGCAGCTCCCCCTGCCCCTCTAGCCCTGGGGGGCTTCAGGAGGCTCTGGGCTGTCCGCCAGCCCCAGGCTGGCCCATTCTTGAGTGGGGGTGGGGAGTCAGTGCTATTCCCCTTTCCTTCCTGCTTGGTCTCCAGCCCAGAGTTTCCTCAGTCCCCAGCCTCCCGGGGCTCCCCACCCTGAACTCCCTTAACCCTTTCCTCCACGGGAAGGGTGGCTGCAGTGCCTGTTCTCTGTGGAAGCCTGGGTGGCCCTGGGGGTAGAGGGGAGGAGGTAGCCCAGTTTCAAATCTCAAGAAAGGGTCCTTTAGACCAACTCTTCCCTCCTCTTTCCTTCCACAAGGGAAAGGGGAATGTGGAAGGAAATTAACTTTGACCCCTGGATTCTGGCTCTGGGCCCCAAACTAGGATTGAAGGCAGAGGTTTTCAGGACCCTCCCCGCCCCCTTCCTCCCGTCCTCTCTCTCCCTCCCTCCCTCCCTCGGCTTCCCGCGCCCCTTTAAGCGACCCAGCAGACAGAGAGTTTATCCAGAAGGGACTGGCAGAGTGGTGGAGGGGGAAAGCGGAGGGGAGGGGGCGGGGGGAGGAGGGAAGGGCGGCGGGAGCCTGGCCGGTCCCACCCCCAGCTACAACCCCTGGCAGGAAGAGCCTGTCGCTGGAGCAGCCGCAGAGAGGGACGGAGTTCGGGAGGGCGGGCGTCTGAGCGGTGGCGGGTGGGTCCCAGGGCTTGGAAGGCCGAGGCGGTGGCGGGGGGCGCGCCGCAGGGAGGGGGCGTGGCTTAGGTTCCTCGGGCTGGGGGCTGGGGCGCCTCCGGTGCTGGGACCCCGGTGACACTGTCGTTTCCCTCTTTCTAGGGAAGGGTTGAGCAGCCATGCTCTTGTCTGGGGGTGACCCCCCGACTCAGGAATGGTTCATGGTGCAGACAAAATCGAAGCCTCGGGTGCAGAGGCAGCGGCTGCAAGTGCAGCGCATCTTCAGGGTCAAGCTGAACGCCTTCCAGAGCCGCCCCGACACCCCCTATTTCTGGCTGCAACTTGAGGGGCCCCGGGAGAACACCGGCAAAGCCAAGGTAAACAGCTTCTCTCCACGCCCCACCCGTCCCATCCAGCCAGATCCCTTCCTCCCCCACCCAGGGGAGAGGTGGTCCTCAGAGGTCTCCAGACCTAGGTCGGGCAGTTTGGCTTGCAGGTAATGGGCCATCTTCCAGTCTCTCCAGATCTGCAGCCCTGGCTCTTTCCCCATCCGCCTCTTCCCTCTAGTTCCTTCTTTCTTTTCTACCCCACCCCTCTCTTGCGTGTCACTTCTGTTCCTCAAGTGTGCTGGGAGAGCCGGCATGGTGTGACTCCTCACAGGCCTTCCCTGACCAGGTTCCAGCGTTCACTACCCTGCTTTTCCATCTGGGGAGCAATTTAAGGCTCTGCATTTTTGTGGCCTCTGCAACACACCTCTTTGTTCTCCACCAAGACCCTGGAAGGCCTACATTCCTGTCTCCTTAAATACTTGGGGTGCCCTGGGATTGCTGGAACTAAAGGGGGCCCTTCCAGATACTTTTGGAGCATTGTTGGCATTTTACAGATCAGACATTGGGAATCAGAGGTCAAGGGGCCTGCCGGAGTCCTCAGGGTCAAGTAGGTGTGGGATGGTGGGGGTTAGACCAGAACACAGGACTCTGGTTTCCCTGGTTCATACTCTGGTGTCCCAGGCAGCCTCTTGTAGGGCTCAGGGTGATATGTAACTGCTCTGGGACACTAAACCTTGGGGGTGGGAGGGGATTGGGAGAACTGCGGGCATTTGAATGAAAGCGGCTGCTGTGTGGGGTTGGATGTAGGACAGGCCAGGTCACAGCTTGTCTCTCTTGCAGTCTCCCTGGCTTCTCTCACAAGTTTCTCCTCTCCTTTCCCATCCTCTGATTGTGGCCAATGTCTCCTTCTTTACTCAGATTCTCTTACCTTATCTCATCCTGGTAGGACTGTTACCTGCTCCCTTTGCTTCAGATCACCTCCCAGCAGACACCCACACCTGCATGCAAGTGGGTCTTTCCCAATAACCAATTAGTCAAGGCTTTGGGTAGGGAAGGCCCAAAGCAGTCAGCTGGAGGGCAGGCAGGCTGAGAAGTTCCTCCCTCTGCCCCTTGGTTGAGCTGCTGTGTCAGCAGTTCTTCCAATTTAGACAGAGGTGCTGGGGGAAGAGAAGGTTTTCAATTCTGACAGTGGTACTGGGGGAGGGGAAGGTTTTTTCAAGACCTAGGTGCTGGAAAAGGGGATGGATGTCTGCCCTAACAACAGATGTGCAGGAGCCCCTGAGAGTAAGAAGTTTTGGAAGCTGGGATGGGGTAGGTTAACAAGAGAAGTTTGGGTTCCTAATCTTTTTTGTTACTTTGAAATACACAGCTCACCCTTTTATGGGGTTGCACTTTCTGAGAAGCTGTGTTCCCTTCTGCTTGCTTAAATCCTGGGTTGGCTTCTCCAGGCCTGTCAGCTCTAGCTCTCACTGCTTCCTCAGGGTTCTTTGGGCCATAGGTTCTAACATCCCAGACTCTCACTCCAAAACCATATTAAATGAATCCAGTGGCTCCCTTAACCACCCTCCCTTTGCAAGGCACTGTTGAAGGTGAGAATGTAGTGTGGATAACTCTCTTCTTTACTGCACAGATGAGTGGAGAAGAAACTCTGGGGGAAGGAGAACAGAGAAGATGGGGAGGATAAGATTTTGTCTTAAGGGTTAGGAGATCTGGGTTTGATGTGCTGTCACCATATTATAGCCAGATAGAGGAGTGTGGTGCAGAGAATTTGAGTTCCGGTTTGCTATCTCCTCATTGAGCTACCTGGTCAAATAATATGCTCCCTTTGAGCCCTTTTCATTATCTATTTAACAGAATATAACACCCACTTCATGAAGTAGTTGTGAGTGTCACCTGAAATAATGTGTGCAAAATGAATTGTTCAAAATGCAAAATGCAGAGAGCTATGGAGATATATGTCATGTATTAACTAGCTGTAAAACTGAGCAAGTCCTTTTCCCTTCCTGGGTCTTTGTCTCCTTTGTAAAGTGAGAGGCTTGTATTAAATACTGTATGAATGTTTCTCAAGTGTAAGGATGTCTTGTGATTTCCACAGGGAGATGGTGTGGCTGACCCCAATCCCAACTGCAGAGATGTGAAATTTTGACTTTGATAATGACCTTCCTGTACATAAGCCAACTGGTGTAGAGGACTTGTGAGACTGGAGGTTGCAGGATAGGGAGGGGTTGTGGGAGTGTGGATCTTGTCTGGGTCTGAGTGGAGGAGGGGTCAAGAAGTATATAGGATCATCTGGAGAAGGGCCTGGCCAGGGTGTGTTTTTACATTTTGTGCACTTGGGTTTCCAGGAAAATCTCTAAACTTGAGTGCCTTTAATTTTTTTTTTTTTTTTTAGTAGTGGAATTTAGAAAATATCAACGATGTTGCTGTAATCACATTTCCAGGCAGCAAAACAAACGCTGGGGAGGCCTGATTTCTCTTGGGTGAAATCAACAAGTGGAGAGGAGAGTTTTAATAATGTTTAGAAGAACCCAAGGACAAGCCCCTTTGCCCTCCTTGGCAATAATGTGAGGATGGGTTGGTGGCAGAGAAGAAAAGTGGCATGTTTGCTTCTTTCCTTTTTAGGAGAGAATGGAGGGAGGTGGTGGGGAGCCCAAAGACCCCGGTAGTAGTAGAGGTGACTTTTGGAGGTGGTTCTAGAACTGCAGGACAGCATGAGGCTTGCCAACTCTGACTTGGTCATCAGATGATAGTTGATCTGTCCTGGTTCCATACTGTGAGCAGAACCATGGAAGTTGTTGGGGTCAGGGGAGTGCTGGACTTGGCTCCTACTGACCCGTGGTCAAAATCTCAGGAACTTGGTAAGCCAGTGGAGGAATATTTACAGCCATGGAGGGAGTATCTAACCATGGACATTGGCAAATGTACAAATCAGAGCTCACCCCCAGCTGATTGGGCAACATTTACCAGCACACCTGAGTTGTGAGCAACTAATTCCTCTTTTTCTTTAAAGTTTTTTTTTTTAATCAAATAATATGTATTTTAAAAATCCAATAATTTGAAAAATATTTTACAAAGAACCTAGTGACTGCTCTGACCATCCCAACTCCCTCTTTGGTGCCCTTCCCCATAGACATATCTGCTCTCGCATTTATGCATCTCCACTTCCTTTAAAAAAAAAAAGGACATAAACAAATAAACAATGTCATATTTTTACCAATTTTAGATGTTTTTATTTTTACTTCCAATTATTGCATGTGAGGATTTAATTCCCTTACACTGCATTCCCTTTATCTTCCCAATACAGTTGTTTCATTTTTTTCTCAAATCGATACTTACTATTTGCCTCCTTTTACCTATGCCCATATCATTCATATGTATGCATTGAAGTATATTATTTTTACTTTTGGGTTTCCCTGAAATTAAGAACTCCTTGTTTTTCAATTTGTTTGTTTTTCTTTGTGCCTATTACTAATTCTTACAAGGTGTTTTTTTTTAAGGTAAATGTGTTAGTAAGGTTTCCATCACTGTGACAAAATACCTGATATAATCAACTTACAAGGAGGAAATATTTATTTTGGCTCATAGTTTCAGAGGTTTCCATTCATAGTTGCTTTGCCCTATCGCTTTGGACCTTTGGCAGTGCGGTACATCATGTTGGGAGCACATGGTGGAGATAGCTTGTTTACCTCATGGTGACTGTGAAGCAAAGATAGAGAATGGTGGGGTCCTAATGTTGTCCTCAAGGGCATACTCCCAATGACTCCACTTCCTTCTCCTAGGCCTCACCACCCAGAAGTTCAACCACCTCCTAACAGCTTCCAAGATGAGGACCAAGCCTTTAAAACATGGCCCTTTGGGGGACATTAAATATAGATCCAATCTATAGCAGTCAATCTATCCATTCAAGGTATTCATCTAATTCCATTTTTTTTTTAAACATTCTTTCTTCAGTTGCTTTCAAGGTTGGCAGCCTGTCATACTGAGACTTCAGTGTAGTGTTCTCTTTGGTGTCCCTTTGCCTTTTTTCCTTCACTCAATTCTTTGTTTACTGGACCACATGTCTTTCTCTTTCTTGGGTTGATGGAGTGCGTCCATCAGTAGTATCATTAGGTTCAAAATATGGTGCTGTGGCAAAGGGGATTCTGGTGACTGCTTTCAACACGCTTGTCTGTTGAGTCATACTCAATCTGAACTCATTGCTCTCTGTGATGACAATCATCATCCTGAAACAGTGAGTAGCATACAGTGAGTTGTCAGCAATGATTTGTTAAATGGATGAATAAACTCAGATTTCTCTTCACCATCATTCTGGAGATTGTCTTTGCTTCTTCCCTACATTGGATTTCCCTTCTTGATTTGTTTGAATTGTTCTGCAGTGGTGCTATGGTTTGAATATTCCCTCCAAAACTCAAGTTAAAATTTAGTCGCCATTATAATAGTATTAAGAGGTGGGGCCTTTAGATCATGAGGGCTGTGCTGTCAAGAATGGATTAATGCCATTATTGTGGGAGTGGGCTAGTTATCACAAGGTGGGCTTGCTATGAGTTTGGCTCCCTCTTGCTTCTTTCTTCGTCTTGCCCTCCTGGTATGTTACAACATAGCACAGAGGTCCTTTCCAGATGCCAATACCATGTTCCCATATTTCTCAGCCTCCAGAACCAGTACCCAAATAAATTTCTGTTCATTATAAATTACCGGGTGTTTGGTATTCTGTTGTGGAAGTGGAAAACAGCAAACTAAGAGAAGTGGCTTCTTAAGAAAGATTTTATAGAGGAAAAATGTTGGGTTACATAACAGATAGGTTTCATATCTGAAGGTCTCTTGGTTGATGATTATTTCTGAATTATAAGTGTGAAATTATTTTCCTTCAGAACTGTGAAGGCATTACTCGATCGACATCTTGCTTTTGAGAAGTCTGAAGCTATTCTGGAGCCGGTCATAGTATGAGATGTTTTCCCTCTTCCCCCATGTTCTGAGGTCTCCCAGTGAGACTCCTTTGCATGAGGGTCTGTTTTCCTTTTCTTGGGTCTTTCTTTGCTGCTATTGTGTTTTTAATGTCTAACAGTTGCTTGTGTTCTCTCTTTTTAAAAGCACTGTCCTCTTCTTATTTAGTGTGTACCTCGTTTTTCTTTTTTTTTTTTTTGCACTGGAAATTGAACCCAGGGGTGCTTAACCACTAAGCCACATCCCCAGGTCCCCCCCACTTTTTTTTGTATTTTGTTTAGAGGTAAGGTCTTGCTGAGTTGCTTGGGGCCCCTCTAAGTTGCTGAAGCCAGCTTTGAACTTGTAATCCTCCTGCCTCAGCCTCCCGGGCTGCTGGGATTACAGGTGTTCACCACTGTGTACCATATTCTTTAGTAGCTCTCCAAGAAGAGTAATGAGAGTAAACTTTTTGAAGTTTTCCTCTCCCTGCCTATTTTCTCTTCTTTCAGTTTGTTCTTTCTTCTTTATGTGTTGTTCTGTGTGTTTTGCATTAGACATTTTCCTTATATGCCTGGGAATCTTTGTTTAACTAATAGTGAAGGACAGAAAGCTGACTGGTAGCTGTGGCTGTGGAGAAGGCTTGTTGATTTGGAGCTTGATGGTACAATTGTCTGTTGGAGAACCTCTGTCATGGTCCTTAAGTCTTTGCTTTAGGGCTGGCCAGATTTCCCAGAATGTATTCTTTTCTGCAACCCAGAGGGTCAGGGTCTGGCTGCTGAATCTCTTAAATGGGAAGAATGAGTTTCTCTGCATTCAGTTTTCATTACATATGTCATTATTTGGTCCTCCTCCTCCTTCCCTCCCTGTTTCTATATGGTGCCTGCACCCTCAAGTATGCTGATCAACCTCTAATCCTAAAACCTTGTTTTAACTCTCTAGAAAACAACTCTTCAGGAGTGGGGAGGAACTTGCCTAGCCTGCATGTGTGTATGAATGTGTGTGTGTGTGTGTGTGTGTGTGTGTGTGTGTGTGTGTAGGGGTGGTTGAGCTTCTATATCTCTGCCCCTCTAAGAACTTGGCCTTTTTTCCTATTTCTCTTCACTGCCAGTTCCATAGTTTCTTGGTGTGGTCATTTTCTTAGCCTTTCGAGTATTCTGCAATGTCAGTTGGGGTGATAGAAAGCAGACAATGAATGAAAACTGACTTAGGAGAAAGGCAAATCCTAAGTCAGATGTCAAGGGATAAAGCACCTTGGGACAAGTATAGAACAATATAACACTTGGTGTTAATTTTTTATTCAGCTTACAAATTGGCAAAGGACCTGTGGAACATTGGGCTATTTGCTAATACACCTCTCGTTTTTCTGTTGATCTGCAGCATTTATCCAGTTGCTTCTATTTCTTTTCTATTTTTTCTTCTTTTGGAGGAAAAAGGTCTGGGGGAGGTCTAGGCAGTAAAGTTGTTCTAGGTATTTTCTGGACTATAAATGCTTGTTGTTTCCTTGTGGTCTCTTGCCTTTCAATATGGATAGCACCACTGTTGAAATCCTAGACTTTGGGGTCACAGTACTTAGTATCCTATCTTATCTGAGATCTTAAACATGTGGCCTTCTTTTCTCATTAAATGGGGATAAAGGATGCCAGGCACAGTGGTGCACATCTGTAATCTCAGTGACTCTGAGGCAGGAGGATCACACCCTGCCTGTGCAACTTGGAGAGACCCTGTCTCAAAATAAAATAGAAAGAACTGGGAACCGAGCTCAGATTCGGGCCCTGCTGGGTTCAATCTCCAGCAAAGCAAAAAAAAAAAAAAAAAAAAAGTTGTGTGTGTGTGTGGAGGGTGGATAATAATGTGATTTTCTTGTAGGTCTGAGAGAGGAATAAATGAGATAATGTATGTAAAGTACCTGGCACAAAGTAAGTTCTAAATAAATGTTAGTTCACATTTATTGTTTTGAAAATTATCCCAGTTCTTATATCTTTCAACTAAAAATATCGAATGGTTGCCGGGCACAGTGGCACATGCCTGTAATCCCAGCATCTTGGGAGGCTGAAGCAGGAGGATTGCAAGTTCAAAGCCAGCCTCAGCAATGTACCAAAACCATATGCACCTCAGCAAGACTGTGTATCTAAATAAAATATAAAAAAGGGCTGGGGATGTGGCTCAGTGGTAAAGGTACTAGGTTCAATCCCTGGTACAAAAAATACACACACACACACACACACACACAATGGTTGAGGAAACAATAAATATTCTAAGCTCTTTTTGAAAAAGAGAAAGAGGCCATCTATACTTTTCTTCCCCAATACTCCTCTTCATGTTTGCATACTGTTTTCATGTCACTGGAATGTGGAGTACACAGGACTGGGCATTTGTTAAGGTGAGAGTTATTCACACCTGGTCAGATTCTCCCTTGCAGGGGAGTGGGGCCAGCTGAGGCTCTGATGAGGATTGGCTTGGGATGTCCCTCAGATTTTGTTCTGGTTTTTACTGGTTAAAAAGGGGCTACATCTGGGTGTATTTCAGGCCTTTTGGGGGAAGTAATGGCAGATCCACGGCCTGAACTGTGTGGAAGAGGCAAGCATCCGCCTGAGCAGGGAGGGTTGGCATGAATACTGAGCAAAGGTGGTGGTTGTGGTGCTGATGTTGCCTCAGGATGACTCTTAGAGATCCAAAATGGAGCAACCTTTTCTTAATGGAACTGTCAGGGGAAAATAGGAAGAGGGATGATTATCACAGACACAGGGATAGGGAGGAACATGAGACTGAATGCAGTCCACATGGGCTGGTGGATTCAGTGGGGCGCTCATGCATCCTTGGAGCTCCTGGGGCTGTGGTGGTGGAACTCAGCCAAAGAGTGAAGGAACACCACCTCTCTCAGGCCCTTTCCCTCTGAACCTGAGGACTTGGTCAGCCAGAGAGTGAGAGGCCTTCCTTCTGGTTAGATGTTGTGCGTTATCTGTGGGCCCCTCCCCTGGACGCTGGCCCAGCAACTTATCTTCTCTCTTCTCTGGAACAGAGTTACCATGGTTACGGGTACAGGTTGTGCTAGAGACCTTCTGGAGGGGGATTAAGCCAGAATCCCATGGGATTACCTGGTAGTCACTGTGCAGTCAGAGGAGGTGGAAAGAGCTCTGGTTTTAGAGTCAGACAGACATGACAGACAGACAGCCATGACTGTGATCCTGGCACAGTCACCTTTGAGCTGTGTGCCCTTGGGCAAACTGCATAGCGCTCTAAGCTTCAAAATGGAAATGGGTTGTGCCAAGTACCATCCTAAGTACTTCTTATGTATAAGCTCACTGAAACTTCAAGTAGCCTAGTGAGGCAGGAACCATTATTATCCCCCTTTTTATGATAAGGAAACACAGGCGGATGGGGGACATAAACAACTTGGCCCAAGTTCCTGACAGAGTGCCCAGTGGTGTGTGGCCCTTTCCCCCCGTGCTGTTAGACAGTACTGGAATGTCAGAGGAGGACTGAACCCACACATATCTAGTTCAGCCTGCCATTTTGTAGGTGAGGAGACTGAGTCCCTGAGGAGATGTTGGATTTCCCAGAATCCTAATCTACTGAGGCTACGTTGTAACTATAACCAGCTTCCTTGGCTCCAATCCTGGGTCTTCCTCCTCCTCTCCTCTATCTAGGTCTCTCTGATTCTATTCGTATTCCCTGAAAAGAAATGGGTGTGTGAGGGGACAGGATGGAGAGAGAGGATGCCCTGGGGAAGAAAGCAACAGAGGGCACATGCTTACCAAGGAGCTGGCCTCCAGGTTGGGAGGGCAGAGCCAGTAGCAGCCCTGTAATAGGCTGGCTTCCTTTTGCTCTCCCCACTTTGCTCAGGAGTACCTGAAGGGCCTGTGCAGCCCAGAGCTGTGGAAGGAGGTCCGCTACCCGCCGCTGCTGCACTGCGCCTTCCTGGGGGCCCAGGGCCTCTTCCTGGACTGCCTCTGCTGGAGCACCCTGGCCTACCTGGTGCCCGGTCCCCCTGGCTCCCTGATGGTGGGCGGGCTGACCGAGTCTTTCACCATGACCCAGAATTGGCTGGAGGAGCTGGTGGCACGGCTGCGCTGGGGCCCTGCCCCTCTGCTGACTCCTCGTGGTATCTGGGAGGCTGAAGTGACCCGGGCCTTTGGGGCCCTGGTTTGGATCCGTGGTGACCAGTATGCGGGGGACCTCCTTCAGCTGCCTCCAGCAGTCCAGGAGCTGCTGCTGAGCCTGGTACGGGATGCCGCAGGGAAGGAGGACATCATTGAGTGGCTCAGCCACTTTGGCATCTCCAACACCCACTCCAACCAGGAGGTGCTGATTTGCCCTCCTCAGCAAAAGAAGGAAGGCCTGGCCATGGTGTCCATGGGAGAGAGTCCTGGGTCCTTTCTGGAGATGGGTACCCTGCAGAAAGGGGGCCTGGAAAGTCCAAAGAGATTAACCAGCCTAGGAGCCACTGGGTCCCTGATCCCAACCCAGAGCACACAACAGGAGACAGCAAACCAGCTGGTACGGTAAGTTCTGGAGAATGAGTCTGGCTTCTCTGACCCTAATCCTGTTCCCTTACCCCAGTGAAATATTAGTAGGTAGTTTGTGATTGAATTGGCCTTCCCACCTTTTCAACAAACTTGAATTTTCTCCAGGGTCGGTTCCAGCAACCAAGGTGGTAAGGACCGTGCTCAAGAGGAGGGGCCGTTGCAAGCCAGCAGCAGCCGAGACTCTTCGAACCACTCACAAACCTTGTTACAGCAAAGACAGGTCCAGAGGGTGGAAGATAAACTCCCCTTCCAGGCTCCTGTGTCAGCCCTGGGAGTGTGTCCATCCTGGAAGGCCTGGGCCCCGGGGCCAGCCTTTGGTCCCTTGTGGCCTGGGGCTATTGCTGCAACCTTCTGGAGGATCAATGAACTGCATTCTCTGCACCTGGCTTGGCTCCTGTCCCAGGCGGGCTTCAATTTCCCTTTCTGGCAGAGGCCAGTGGGCCCCATTCAGCTGAAATTGCCAGGGCAGAATCCTTTGCCCTTAAATCTGGAGTGGAAGCAGAAGGAGCTGACTCCTCTGCCCAGTGCAGAAAGCCCAGCTTGTAGACTGGATGGGGAGCTGGGAGGAGAGACAGCCCTACGGAATTTACCAAGGCCAGAGACCTCCCCTAAAATCACAAGTTTATTGGTGGTCCCAGCAGGCTCTGCTGTAAAGGACAAACTTAGTCCAGGACTTCCACAGATAGGGCCACCTTTGACCTCTGCACCCCAACTACAAGCTAGAGGTGAGCTTGGGGATCAAGGAAGTATGCCGTTGGATTGTAAGGGCCTAGAAAAGGGGCCCTCTCCAGCACTACCCTCAGAGCAAGGGATGCTCACAGAGCAAGAGGTGCCCACAACTCAAGGGAGGCCCATGGCTCAAGGTCATCTGACAGCCCAGCTAGTACCTGAAGCTCAGACAGTGCCTGAAACTCTCAAAGTGCCCCTGGGTGCAGCAGTGCGCAAAGCTGAAAACCCACCCATAATCCAAAGACTGCCTACAGCTCCCAAAGTGCCTACTGCCCCACTGATGCCGGCAGCACACACAGAGCCTGCAGCTCCCAAAGTGCCTTTGGGTCCAACAAAGCCAGCAGTTTCTGTGATGCCCACCACTGAAAAAGCAGCCATGGATCAACTGGTATCGGAATCAGCATTGACAGCTCAGGTGTTGTCTGCAACTCCAAAGACTCCCACAGCTCAGAAGATGCCTGCAATGAAAACATCACCTGTAGGTCCCCAAACACCCAAAGCTCAAGCCAGGCCTGTGCCTAAATCAGGGTCTACAGCTTCCAAAGCACCTGCAGCTCCCAAAACACCTGTGATCCCCAAAGCACCTGCAACTTCTAAAGCCTCCAGAGCTTCCAAGACGCCTGCACCCCAGAAAGTGCCCACAGATGCAGGGCCCACGTTGGATGTAGCCAAACTTCTGAGTGAGGTCCACCCTTCATCAAGGGGTAGTAGATCCTCACCAAAGGGCCAGGCGGCTGGAAGGCAGGGTCCCCAGCCCAACAGTACCCTAGCCCTCAGCAGCAAGCATCCATTCCTGATGGAGGGGCTCCTGGGGGCTTGGGAAGGCACCCCAAGGCAGCCATCTCGCCACCAACAGGCAAGCAACACAGTGACCAGCTTCCAGAGGTACCATGAGGCCCTGAACACACCCTTTGAGTTGAATTTGTCAGGGGAACCTGGAAACCAGGAGTTGCGACGAGTGGTTATTGACGGCAGCAGTGTGGCCATGGTGTGAGTAGCCATGGGGCAGGGTGGCATGGGAATGCTGGGGAGCTGGGGCAGGGTATCCCTGGACAACTGTGTGTGGCCATCCTTTCCTGACCTCCATATGGGAAGTATAGGGTTTGAATGGGGAAAAGAAGGGAGCCTGACTTTGTGGGAGATGGCATGTGTTAAGTGGCCACTGCACACCCAGCAGTGGGCATTGAATCCTCATAGCAGCGCTGCCAGGGCAGGTTACTCTTCTTCCTTTTAAGTAGATGAAGAAATAAGCTTAGAGGTGAGAATCTTGCCTCAGGTCCCTGAGTCAGCCAGGGGCTCAGCTGCCCTTTGGGTTTACATCTGCCCACTGCTAAGGCCCATGCTCTGCCCAGGCAGCTTTTAAACATTTAGCCCAAATGTTGAGGCCCAGCCCAGATCCCTTCTGAAGGTTTTCCTGGCCACACTGTTCCTTAGAGATGGCCCTCCCTGCACGGTGCCGACTGTTGTAGAGATATTAGGATAGATACATGAAAGACCATTTAATTTGCCACATGGTAGAGTAGTGATCTGTGCTGAGCACACTCTCAGCACACAGTAGGTGGTTAGAGGATTTTTGTTTGCTTTAGGGTCTAAACTGAGCTCTTTGGATGGAAGGTCTGCATTCGTCCTCTTCTTGTCTTCAATGACCCTAAATTCATACACACACACACACACATACACTGTTTGGCAGTGCCCTGTGCCCAGTAGTTGCTCACAGGATGTTTGAGGATGGAGATAAGGGAGCAGGGCATTGTCGGTGTCTTTGGTGCTGAAGCTGGTCCTCTGGCATTGCCTGCTCGCTGTCCCAGGGCCTTGAGGGAGGGACTGTGAGGCAGAGCCATTTCTCCTACATTTGGGAAGCTGCCCCCTCACCTCCTACTACCCCACAGGCATGGCCTCCAGCACTTCTTCTCCTGCCGAGGCATTGCCATGGCAGTGCAGTATTTCTGGAACCGGGGACACCGAGAAGTCACTGTATTTGTGCCCACCTGGCAGCTGAAGAAGAACCGGAGGGTGAGAGGTGAGATGTCCACCGTCTGCCCAGCCCCTCCAGCATCACCATGCTTTTCTCCTCCCTTTCTGCCCCTGCTCCCACCATAGCCTTTCTCACCTCTCCTCTCCTCTAATCATCTCTGTCTGCCTTTCATTGCCAGAGAGCCACTTCCTGACGAAGCTCCATTCACTCAAGATGCTTTCAATCACCCCTTCCCAGCTGGAGAATGGCAAGAAGATCACCACCTATGATTATAGGTACACTACACCCAGGCCTCTGTGGGGACCAGGATTTGGGCCTGGATGGGTATCAGGTGGAGTTAGCGTGGGCCATATAGTATTCCATTATGTGAGTCCCCATCTAGCGGATCTTTTGATTCCCTGGTTGAAGGTCATTTGACTATTTCCCTTTTATGCTGCTCCATCTTCTCTGGGGGAAATGGAGGCAAAAGTGTCATGGAATCATGCTCTAGAGTGTGAGGTGGGGTATAAGAGAGGAGAGGTCTCTACCAAGGTTTGCTCTACCCAAGCCCAAGGGTTGCTCTTGGCTTTGAGACTCTGGTGCTCTTTCCATGAATTAGCTGGCTTTCTTCCATCATGGCCTGTGTGCCTACATACACTGCTTTGGATTGGATGTACTTTATGCTGAGTGAGAGTGAAAGGTACCCTGGACATTACCAGTTTGGGTTGAAGTTCATGTCTCAAGGAACTGCTTCAGTCTTTTTCCTTCTCTAAGCCCTGCACTGGGAGGAGGCATATGGCTGTATATAGATGGTGCCCTGGGCAGGGCTCTGGAAATGGAGCTAGATTGGCCCTGGTCTGCCTGAACCCTGATTGCTTCCTTGCCTATGGATCATAATTACCCACTTTCCAGAATGCCTATGGGAGCAGTGAGCCTAGGGGAGCCTGTGACCCTGCCTCTGTTAGGGTAAGGAAAGTCCTGCTCTTGGGCTGGAGTTGATGCCAGGCTGACAGAAGTCTTGGCTTCACTTAGGCTGGGCAGGGAGAAGTTCTGTTTCTCCCCTACTTTTCCCAACCTGACATCCACCCAGCCTTTCATCCCAGGAAGGTGTGGACAGGACTACTTAGGCATCCATCCTTGGGGAGCTAGCCCTTGGGTAAGGTCTTTAACTGCCTCTAAATTCAGGCCTAGGTGTGAGGGAAGCTGCCTTCTCGGCAGAAGGCCCCCTCTGCTGGGCACTTATGGAATGGCATGCTTGGGGTAGTCCTCCAGCATTGCTGAAGTAGGTCATCTTTGTTTTCTTTCCTGGTTACAGCTCTCTTTAGGGGAGAGCCTTGAAAAATGGGTTTGCTTATTCAGGTATGCGTTTTTATATTCATTAGCATATGTATATATGTTTTTGCATATATATAAATGTTATACATTGGTGAAGAATATTGGAATATTCATGTGTATGCTGTGCAGCAGGCACTGAGCTAGACACTTAAATACATCACCTCATTAGGTTCAATACTCAAAGCAATCTGGGATAGCTTTGTTTGCCTTCATTTCACAGGTGCAAAAACCCAAGTAGTAAATAGGCAGATGTGAATGTGAGTGAGTGGGTGGGCTTCTGTGCCTGCATGTGTAATAGGGGTGTGGGTTTGTATATATTGTTGGGGACATGTGCATACAAGTCAGTCCACTCTTTCAGTAGACTTCTGGCGATCCCACGTGTGTTCCAGAGCTTTGGCTTCCTGTCTGTGAGGGACAGTGTTTTTGTTTGACACCTCACTGTGGAGCTGCTAGTTCATTTTCCCAGGGGACCCAGAAAGTGAGGGGGCCCTTCTCCCTGCAGGTTCATGGTAAAGCTGGCGGAAGAGACAGATGGCATCATTGTCACCAATGAGCAGATTCACATCCTGATGAATAATTCCAAGAAACTGATGGTCAAAAATCGGTGAGGCGGCTCCCTAGGGATTTGAGCCACTTGGTTCCCTTGATGTCAGGCAGCTCCTGGCAGGGGAGATGTTGGGGCAAAGAGAGGGGTCTTGAAATAGGGTTCACAGAACCTATGGGGGGATGGGGGCCTCAGCCACCGTGGCAGGCAGCAACAGGGTGTGGGTGAGTTAAGGGCTCATCTATGACTGTGCCCCTTTCTCTCCTGTGTTCCAGCCTTCTGCCCTTCACCTTTGCGGGGAATCTCTTCATGGTACCAGATGATCCATTGGGCCGAGATGGCCCTACTTTGGATGAGTTTCTGAAGAAGCCAAACAGGTAATAGGTCAGGCCTCCCCTGCCTCCTAGGTGCTCTTAGGACTGACCAGAACTTCCTTCTAGTGCTAGCCAATATTTGTCTACTGCTTAAAAATGAACAGAGTGATTTGCTTTTCATGACCTTATAGTTCTACCATACATCAATGCCTCCATAAGCAATGTAAGGAAGATTTTAACATTTTACACAGATGCTGTAATACTGTGTGTATCCTTCTATAACTGGCATTTGCACTCAACATTTTATTATTTTTTTCAGATGTGTGCAAAATCATGTAGCCCTCATATAGTATTCCATTATGTGAGTCCCCATCTAGCGGATCTATTGATTCTCTGGTTGAAGGTTATTTGACTATTTCCCTTTTATGCTGTTGGTGCTGATGTGGCAGTGATGTAGCAATGAAAGCTTCATTCTTGTCCAAGGGACGCTATGCCTAGAGCATATGCTATTTCCTTTAGTATCTCCTTTGATCCTCACAATTTGAGTTAGATGCCAATGACCACTCTCAATTTCTGGATGAGGAATTTGAGATTTAAGTGACTTTTAGGAGGTTACTTTTTTGGTGTGGGCAGAATTGATTTGCAATAACTTTGATCCTCTGGCTCCACCTGAGCCATCGTGCTGCCCACCTTCCAATGCCTTGGGGCCACTAGGGGACCTTAACTTCCCAACAAGGCACTTCCTCTTGGGCCATTTCACCAATTTGGATGTGAGGCTGAGGTTTGTTTACTGAGTGTCGGGCTCTCCTTCCTATGTTGATCTTCCCCGGGAATGCTTATCCTGGGGTAGATTGTAAGCTGCCAGTCATCTTTGGTCAAATCATTGGTTGAAAACTAGGTTGAATATATCTCGGTCCATGAGGTTTTGATTTGATGAGTCATCACAGCACAGATGAATCTTTACAGTTGAGGTTAGGGCAGATGCAGGGGTTACAGCAGGGATTTGCTGGCAGAGCCCTGCCTTAGACTGTGCCATGTGGGAGGCTGGCGATCAGCTTAGCCTCAGGGATACTTAACAATGAGGTAAGGCTTTGGGGGGCATCCAGAGGAGTGTCTTTCCCTTGGATGATGTTTGGGTGGGGCTGCCCCCTCCCCCTATTTTTCTCCCTGTTTTGGTATAGGTTGGACACAGACATTGGCAACTTCCTGAAGGTGTGGAAGACCCTTCCTCCCAGCTCAGCCCGCATCTCTGAGCTGAGTGATGATGTTGACACTGGGCCCCTGCAGGAGCCACAGAATGTGGAAGAAGTCAGAGAGGAGAAGGAAGAACAGCAGGAAGAGGAGCCGAGGGAGGAGCAGGGGTGGCCAAAGCTGGAAGAGGAGGGGGACGACCTTGACTCTTCCCTGGCATCAGTGTTCCGAGCCGAGTGCCCTTCCCTTTCGGAGGAAATCCTCCGGTGCCTCAGTCTCCACGACCCCCCTGATGGGGCCCTAGATATCGATCTCCTGCCAGGTGTGGCCTCTCCCTACCTGGGCATCCCCTGGGATGGGGGGGCTCCCTGCCAGCAGGTCCTCACCCAGCTGGCCCAGCTATCCATCCCCAGCAACTTCACCGCGCTTTCCTTCTTTGTGGGGTTCATGGATTCCCATCGGGATGCCATCCCTGACTATGAAGCCCTGATGGGCCCCCTGCACAGCCTCCTAAAGCAGAAGCCAGACTGGCAGTGGGACCGGGAGCATGAAAAGGCCTTCCTGGCCCTGAAGCGAGCCCTGGTGTCCGCCCTCTGCCTGACGGCCCCCAACTCCCAGCTGCCCTTCCGCCTGGAGGTGATGGTGAGCCAAGTGGCCCTGACAGCCATCCTCCACCAGGAACACTCAGGGAGGAAGCACCCCATCGCCTACACCTCGAAACCCCTCCTCCCCGATGAGGAGAGCGAGGGTCCCCAGTCAGGTGGAGACAGCCCCTATGCGGTGGCCTGGGCCCTCAAGCATTTCTCCCGCTGCATTGGAGACACTCCAGTGGTCCTAGACCTTTGCTATGCCTCCAGGACCACTGCAGACCCTGAGGCAAGGGAGGGCCGCAGGGTTTCCAAAGCATGGTTGATCCGATGGTCCCTCTTGGTACAGGACAAAGGCAAGAGGGCCCTGGAATTGACCCTTCTCCAGGGCCTGCTGAGGGAAAACCGGCTACTAATGCCAGCTTCCTCAATGCCCCGTTTCTTCCAGGTTCTGCCTCCGTTTTCTGACCTGTCCACTTTTGTCTGCATCCACATGTCTGGCTATTGCTTTTACCGTGAGGATGAGTGGTGTGCTGGCTTTGGTCTCTATGTCCTGTCTCCTACCAGCGCCCCTGTCTCTCTGTCCTTCTCTTGCTCTCCTTACACACCCACCTATGCCCACCTGGCAGCTGTGGCTTGTGGCCTGGAGCGCTTTGGCCAGTCCCAGCTCCCGGTGGTTTTCCTCACCCACTGCAACTGGATCTTCAGCCTCCTTTGGGAGCTCCTGCCCCTCTGGAGGGCGCGGGGCTTCCTATCCTCTGATGGGGCTCCACTACCTCACCCAAGCCTGCTTTCCTACATCATATCCCTCACTTCTGGTCTGTCATCCCTTCCATTTATCTACCGAACCTCCTACCGGGGCTCTCTGTTTGCTGTGACAGTGGATACCCTGGCCAAGCAGGGTGCCCAAGGGGCTGGGCAGTGGTGGAATTTACCAAAGGATGTGCCGGTCCCTGTAGTGACTGCCCATACTACGGGCAAGAAGCCCAACTTGCTGGCATTACAGTTGAGTGACAGCACCCTGGCTGATATCATCGCCAAGCTGCAGGCTGGGCAGAAGTTATCTGGCTCCTCCCCCTTCAGTTCTGCCTTTAACTCCCTCAGCCTTGACAAGGAGAGTGGTCTGCTGATGTTCAAGGGAGATAAAAAGCCCAGGGTCTGGGTAGTCCCAACACAACTCCGGAGGGATCTGATTTTCTCGGTGCATGACATCCCCATGGGTGCCCACCAGAGGCCAGAGGAGACCTATAAGAAGCTGAGGTTGCTGGGGTGGTGGCCTGGCATGCAGGAGCATGTGAGAGATTACTGCAGGAGCTGCTTGTTCTGCATCCCCCGCAATCTTATAGGCAGTGAGTTGAAGGTTATTGAGTCACCTTGGCCCCTCAGGTCTACTGCCCCTTGGTCCAACCTGCAGATAGAGGTGGTGGGTCCAGTAACTGTAAGCGAGGAGGGCCACAAGCATGTGCTCATTGTGGCTGACCCTAACACCAGGTGGGTAGAAGCGTTCCCACTGAGGCCCTACACGCATGTGGCTGTGGCCCAGGTATTGCTTCAGCACGTATTTGCCAGGTGGGGTGTCCCTGTGAGGCTGGAGGCGGCCCAGGGCCCTCAGTTTGCCCGGCATGTCCTGGTGAGCTGTGGGCTGGCCCTGGGAGCTCAGGTGACCACCCTGAGTAGGGACCTCCAGTTCCCCTGCCTGGCGAGCTCAGAGGTCTACTGGGAATTCAAGAGGGCCCTGAAGGAGTTCATCTTCCTACATGGCAAGAAGTGGGCAGCCTCCCTGCCCTTGCTGCACCTGGCCTTCAGAACCTCCTCCTCAGAGGCCACGCCCTTCCAGGTCCTGACTGGGGGTGAGGTGAGGGTGAGTGAGCCCCTGTGGTGGGAGATGAGCAGTGCCAACATCGAAGGGCTTAAGATGGATATCTTCCTGCTACAGCTGATTAGGGAGCTGCTGGATCTCCACTGCAGGGTGGCCGAAAAGGCAAGTGAGAAGGCTGACAACCGGCGTTTCAAACGGGAGAGCCAGGAGAAGGAGTGGAACGTGGGGGACCAGGTCCTCTTGCTGTCCCTCCCCAGGAATGGCAGCAGTGCCAAATGGGTGGGTCCTTTCTATATTGGGGACCGGCTGAGCCTGTCGCTCTATAGAGTGTGGGGCTTCCCAACCCCAGAGAAGCTGGGATGCATCTATCCCAGCAGTCTGATGAAGGCCTTTGCCAAGAATGGCACACCCCTGTCCTTCAAGGTCTTGGAGCAGTGAGCTGGAGCAGTTGTGGAGGCCCCTGCCCAGGAGTCCTGGGTTTCTGCTGCTAGGCCACCCCCAACCCACCCCCCGCTTCAGCTGTGCTCGCGCCCTGAGGGGCTTCAGTTGTGCCTTTTGTAGAAATGTTGCTTCATAAAGCTTTGCTGAATTGCCTTGAACTAGGGCTAGTGTCCCTATGGAAGAACCCCCAATTGGGGGTATTCAGAAAATTTGCCAAAGGCTGTTAAATATGGGCCTCTGGCACTTTTACATTGGGGAGAAGAAAGTCCCCTTATAAAAAGTAGGTCAGTTTGTCTTGTTCCTCAAGTATCCTTTTCCCCCTATATACACATGTAGGTGTAAAGACACCTGGCTGACTTAACGGTGAAACAGTGTGACTCTGGACCTCACAGTTGGAACCACAGTCCTCTCCCAAACAGAAACCTCAAATTTGGGTGCCTTCCCTCAGTCTGTATTTGGGAAGCCCTTGCCCTTGGGGTTGTTGCTGACATAAACCCATATTGGCTGTGAGGAGGCAGCTGGCTCCTCAGCCTCATGGTGAGTTTTGTAAGGCCAGGCTCAGCTTTACCCGCTGTTAAGGAAGGGCTGGCAGTCCTCCTGGGCCTTGAGGGTATTGGCTCAGGGTAAGAAGGTGACCAGCCACGAGCCACCCATTTGTCAATGTGGGAAAGGCAGGAGGGGATGAGTACCCTACCTCATTTGACTCCAGCTGATGGAGATGACTCCTGCCCCTGCTTTGATGGAGTTGACCCCACAGGAATCAAGGATCTTGATGCCAAGTGTGGCATCTCTACCTGAAGAGCTGCTTCTACTGGACCAAGGGGTCCCCAGCCTCTGTTTTGCAGGTCGGGTAGGGGAGGTGTCTGAAGTGAGCCGTCTGGCACACAGTCAGGTGCTGGCATGACTTTACCTCCCAACACCATTCCAAAGCCCATTACCCTCCACTCCTGCCTTCACCGTATCCTGAGACCCCACGTCGTGAGTGATTGCCTTGTCTGGACACCCCACCCCCACCCTGTCCTCTGGATCTGCCTTCTGTGTAGAGTCAAACCCAAGTTCCCATTCTCGGCAAGCCTCACTCTTGCAGTTAGAGTGAGTTTCTCCCAGGTGGGTGTGCTTACACTCACCGCTCTGAATGCTGCTGCTATGAACAACCAGTCTTTGACCAAGGCCAGCACAGTGTCTCTGGCTGGGCCACTGAGTGGTTTCATTTCTGAGGAAGTTGGGCCACACTTACTTCTGGCCTCTCTCAGGTTGCCCAAACACTTGGCAGAGTGCTAGAGTCAGAAGGGAACCTGCCATTGAGTCCAGCCCACTTGTTTTTCAGTAAAGGGGCTCAGAGAAGGACAGTAATTTGCCCACAGCTTGTCGGGGGCTGAGCTTGGACCATGGTTAAGCTTCCTGACTCACAGTTCACTATGAAAAGTGTTCTGGCAATAGGTTCAAGCAAGAGAATCCTTTGAAACCCTAGCCCACGTTCCCTCTAACTCCCCATTTTCCAAACTTGTATACAAACTACCTGAGTATTATCCTTAAGCCAAGTCCAGCTGTGAATCCTATCCAGGATTAGTTGATTGGGTGAATGATTTGGTGATAGCTGAGAAACTGAAAGGTTAGCTGCAGAATTTTTAGTAGATACCTCGCCTCCCACCCTTGTGCCTTCTCTTTCCTCTAATACTGTGTCCAACCTCACCCTACCCTCCCAGCTGTATACGTTTCTGTTAACTGCATTTTTATCTTATATCCTTTTTCATGAATTTTTTTTCCATTTTATTTGTCAATAAACATTAAACTGGAGCCCAATGTTTAGTTCTTTTTCTTAGCTTCAGACTCAGTTGGACAGTGAGGAGGGTGGGGACAGTTTGGGGGCATGGCTGTTGTTTTCCAGGTGGACTTACAGACTTCTAGAGGTGGATAGTGCCTTTTTAAGATCACCTGGCTCAAGCTCTTCGTGTGAGATGAGGAGACCAGGTACAGGGAGTGATGTGCTTAAGGCCCCCTTGACTGGTTCACGGCAGAGCTGGGAGGGAAACCTAGGATTGGGGCCCCTAAGGTTTCTCCAGTTCATGTCTTGGAAGTGGGCACGGTGTACAGAAGACGCATGGCTCCTGGTTTAGGGGAATGGCATTAGTGCCAAACTAGCTTGACTTACATTGGAAAGCTGATGGACCTAGGTTTGGATATTGACTATTCTGAAACAGGATAAGTACATGGCCTGTTTGCTGAAGGCTCTGTTTCCCTATCTGAAAAATATACAGGGCAACAATTCCTAAATTATGGGATGGAGCAAGGAAGACATGAAATAATCTGTGTGAATAGGCTAGCGTGTTGCTGGGGTATGGAGTAAGTACTTACCATGTGCTAGTTACTACCACTCTGCTTCCTGCTCTTGCTGTTCTCCTCCCTGGAGCTCTGAGACCTTCTTGCCTTGGCCATGGTACCTGACCTTTGGCCTCTGCTTTTTGTTGCCTTTTTACTTAGTGCTGGCATTGGCATGGACTGACACTAGGGAATTACCTTTCCTGAGAACTCCCCAGTTCATGTGTATACCATTATTCATTTAGTATTTATAGTGCACCTACTAAGTGCCAGGCTCTGTTTAGGTGTGGGTGGATAGCATGTAATATGATTGACAAAAATCTCTGCCTTGTTGAAGCCCATAGTTGGGTAAAGGAGAAAGACAATTGAATTAACAAGTAATGTACAGAGTAGTAAGGGAAATACTGTGGCACAGGAGTCCATGAAGCCGGGGCCTGGGTTCTCAGCTCACATCCCATTCCAATATTCTTCCTGGAGCCCATTCACCAAAAGTAGTACATCCACTCTTGGCACAGGTCAGAGAGCAAAGGGTTTAGAACTCTTAAGCAGAAGGCTCAGCAATCCCTTTATTTTCTATTCTAGATGAAGTTAAGCAATAATTAGAATTTAGCCCCACTGATTTCTGAGATTTTTCTTTTTTGAAATTGAACATGACAAGGTGTGAGTAGAAATCTGTGATTCCTTCAATTTTTGGAGGGGTGAATAATGAGATATATAAGGCACTGCTTATTATGTTTACACCTATCAATTTTTTCTTCTCACAGGCAGGGGCACGGGCTGATGAGCTTCTCCAGGTCTCCAACAGAGAAATTATAAAGTAGCCAGTGTGTGACAGTCTCATAAGATAATGCAAATTATAAAGACATCCTGTTCCTATGTTAACCCATACATAAACATCTGTAAGTTTAAGACCTCCTAAGCCTGCTCTATCTTCTCTCCCACACACCATTTACCAAGTCCTTGTGTTCATAATCTGGAAGATGAAAACATTTTACCAGGTAAAGGGCCACTAGCAAAAACAAATATTCTACCTACATTTTTAGGATTATGGAAGATTCCCCAGGACATATGCAAGTTTCAACTCGTTTACTAATTCACATGGAAACAGACACTTACATATATTGAGTATTTTCTCTGTGCTGGGCACTGTTCTAAGTGTTTCCTATTCCTGTGGGGCAGATATGATTAATGTATCCATTTTACAGATGAAGAAAATGAGGTATGGAGAGGTGAAGTAACTCACTGAGGGTCATGTGCAGCTGCTAAGTGACAGACTGAATTTGAATGCTGCCTCCTATACCCACCACCTTAACCACTATGTTCATTGTTCTCACCCTGTTACATTCACATTGTTTTTAGAGTTACTCCCCCATCTTTAGTTTATGGCCTCTCCATCTTTTATTAAGGCATTATATAGTATCAGTTAGGATCTCTGTTTCAAGGGCTGGGGTTGTGGCTTAGTGGTAAAGCACTCGTCTAGCATGTACAAGGCCCTGGGTTCCATGCTTAGCACCACATAAAAATGAATAAATAATAAAATGAAGGTATTGTGTCCAACTACAACTAAAAAATAAATGTTAAAAAAAAGATCTCCATTGGCTTAGATTAAGATGATTCACAAACTAAAACAGGCCCTGGTTTACCTCTGTTGGATCTAAGAACAATTCTCTTGGTCCTGTTGTGTTTTTCAAATATCACACTTTCTTTTCCAAGGAGTGCCATTTTCCCTCAGCTAAGTGGTGCTGTTTCTTAGGTCTTCACATGCTTGTAGATGATGAAAAATGGAGCAGTACACATTGCAATAGTTGGATTGGGAAGGGCCTTCAAAGCATGTTAAGAAATATGGAGTTCATTCTGGGGCCCACAGGGAGCTTCTAAAGGGCATTAGGTAGCAGCAAAGTTTATTTAGATAGATCATTATGGCAATTCCCAAATGGAGAATGGGCTGAGAAGGGAAAACTGGAGGCCAAGGGGCCAGTTAGGAGGCTTTTATAGAAATCCAGATGAGAGGTTGGTAGTTTGAGCCAGGGTGGATGGAAAGCAATGAACAGATCCAATGGATATGGATGAGGAGACGGGGGCCCAGGGGGATAAAGACCAGTTTCTGGTTTGGACATATACGAAGAGAATAAGAAAGGGAGAGCAGATTTAGAATCAAGTCTCTAAGTTCAGGTTTCAGCATGTTGACTTTATCAAGGAACAGTTGATGTGTGACTCCAAGGTTTAGAAGAGAGATCTGGATAGGGTTAGCAGGGAAGTTGTCAGTGTAGGGATGGACATTGGTGCTACTGAGAGCGCATTTGAACTGAAGAAATTCTAGGGCAGACCTTTGAGAAACACCAACATTTCAGAAAAGGCCAGCAGTACAGAATTTTGAAAAAGAAGCTGGGACATGGGCATGTGGTGGAGGGAGAACCCAGGGAGGGAAGTTACAGAGTCAGGGCAGAGTGATTTCCTAAGAAGGTGTGGACAACAGGCTCAAATGTTTGGAGGACTAGGAGGTGTCTGTGGACTTTAGTGAGACAGAAGTTGTGAGTGACTGATTGAGGGCCAGCTTAGGTGGAGCAGTGGAGGCCAAAGTTTGACAATGATTAACACACGAGTGATTGGACAGCTCAGTCATGTGTAGTAAGATATTTGGCTCAAAGGGGGAGATGAGATGATGCTGACCAGCCGTAGGTGCATACAGAGCTGAGGGTAGCTGCATCTGTATCTGAAGCTACTTCCATACCTGTTTCCCTTTTAGATTTAAGAGACTTGATCTCTTAAACTGCTGAGGCGAAGGAGTGAGCAGAAAGGACAGGAAAGACAGGAGTATGTTTGGAGGGAATGGAATCCATGGCTGGTGGATGAAAATAGCCGCCTTGACAGCACAAGGGACTCGGTCTCCACTGAACCAGACAGGAAGAAGCAGGGATGGGGAGGAAGGTGAGTTTGTGGGTGTGGTGGGGGGAAGGCTCCTGCCTAAATGAGTCTGTTTTCTCAGGGGGTCAGCAGCTGGCAGGGGGAACAGCAACCAAGGCAAAAGATCAAAGGAAAGAACAGAAGGCTGCAGGCGGATTCCAGAGAGGATGAGGAAAGAAGCTAACAAAGGCATCCAGAGGGTCACTGCCTGGGATATTGGGGGCCAGGTGGGGTGGGAGGCTATGGATTTAGATCCACAGTGAATCCTTCATCAGTGGGACCTTCCTGTGTAGAGCTCAGTTGCCATGGTGCAGGCAGAGGGAAGGTGAACAGTTGGACTCTAATTTTAGGATTCTTTAAGTCTGAGGAGCTTTTGGTACCTAGAGAGGAACACATACCATCACCTGGGTTTTATTTATTAACTCTATATTTCATTAACATTCTTGAGCAAAAATCACCAAAACACTTGAATACTTTATATAAACAACAAATCAAAATCTATACCTGTTACAAGGGAAATTATTTAAACATTAATCATAAAAATTGAGTCCATCTAAAGTATTTCAATAGAACTGCCAGTCTAATGTGTCAATTCCTCTAAAAGCTTTAAACACTTTGGAAAAGCAAACACATCATTAAGAAGATAATAAATTTTTTTCCTAAATATTTATTTTTTAGTTATAGGTTGACACAATATCTTTTATTTTATTTTATTTTTTGTGGTGCTGAGAATCAATCCCAGTGCCTTACGCATGCTAGGTGAGTACTCTACCTCTGAGCCACTACCTCAGCCCCAAGAAGAGTATAAAATTTTTAACCTACACCTGAAACTATTATAAAAATGTGTTGATAGACCCCAGAGATGAATACTACCTCACTTCAGACCAAATTTTTAATTTAGAAAATAGAAGAATATTATCCTAATGCTGAGGAAATTTTGGATTATTAATCACTGAACTCTTGATTGAGACCTGGGAACTGATTTACCTTCTGGGTAAAACCTGAACTTTTTAAGCCCACACATTTTCCATGCGTTTAGTGTATTGTGCTGGATGCCTTTTCTCTACAAGATGTCATCTTTATGTTTAAAGACTATGATGCAGATTTCTTGAAGATGTCCATGCCCTGATCCCTAGAACCTGTAAGTCTGTTATGTCATATGGCAGAAGGGACTTTGCATATGTAATTCAGATTACGGACCTTAAGGTAGGGAGATCATTCTGGATAAGGTGGGTATGCCCAATCTAAGCATGTGAATCCTTAAACTCAGAGAATTTTTCCCACTGAAATCAGAGAGATTAAAGTGGCTCAGTTGTTGGCAGGAAAACAGAGGGCCCAGGGAATCAGCCCTACAACCGTAAGGAACTGAATTCTAAATGAGTTTGGAAGTAGATTCTTCCCTTCCAGTAAGGAAGGTAGCAGCCCAGCCTACACCTTGCTTTTGACTTCATGAAACACTAAGCAGAGAATGCAGCAATGCTTTGCAAGACTTCTGACCTATAGAAACTGAGGTAATACATAGGGGCTGTTCTAAGCCAAGGAGTTTGCCACAATTTGTTGCACAGCAATAGAAAACTAATACAGCAAATTTACCGTAATAATTAACAAAGTCAATCTAGCCTATTTGCATTTTGGAACACTTCTAGTTGTCTTCCCCAGTGTCTGTTCTCCCCTTCTTTCTTAATGTAAAACTCTTGACTATGAGCTGGATATGACTACCTAGAATAACAAAAGATTATTTCCTAGCCTATCTTCCTGGTTTGGTGTGGACAAATGTGATTAAAGTCTAGCCAATAAGATGTAATCAGAAATGTTGGGTGTGGTCAGATGTGGTGGCACACGCCTGTATTTCCAGCTATTTGGGAGCCTGAGGCAGGAGGATCACAAGTTTGAGGTCAGCTGTAGCAATTTAGCAAGACCCTGTCTCAAAATAAAAATAAAAAGAGCTGGTGGTATTGCTCAGTGGTAGCCTGCCCCTGGGTTCAATCCCTACCTCTGCAAAAACAAAACAAACAGAAATGTTGGTTGCACCTTTCAGAATGCTGCTTTAAAAAAAAGAGGTGTGCCTTTTCTTCCTTCCTACTTCCTGGGGACTGTTAGACTAGTGTAAGGGCTGACATTCATAGAGCCATCTTGGGTCATGAGGTGGCATGCTAAAGACAGTAGTACTGCAAGAAGAGAGGAGGGAGGCTGGGCTTTGATGATCATAAAATAGCCATCCATTCCTGAACTCTTTAATTGCAGATTCTTCAATGTGAGACAGAAAGAATCTCCTATCTTGTTTAAGCTAGTCTTCCTGGTCATATATTATTGCCAAATGGTGAGAGAAAAAGTTGTGTGTACATGTGTGTTTATAATTTTTTTTCCTAGCATTGGGGATTGACCCAAAGCCTTACACATGCTAGCCATCGCCCCACCACTAAGCTACACCCCAGCCGGTATTTCTTTTTAAAACCATAAATTCACATCAGCATTTCTTATTTAACTTGAATATTACTATATCCTTTTTTATTTGACTGCAATACATAGTTTTATATTTATTTTCTTTACAACATACCACATCTGCTTTTATCTTGCAATCCCTGATCCAAAATACATCTTCTCTCTACAGGGAGAGTGATTACCATTCTGTAATTACTATATTGATAGATTCATCCATGCTGGACCAATGGGATAGTGGGATGGAGGGGGACGGGTGTATATGTGTGTGTGTGAGTGTGAACGTGAGCATGCAAGAGCTTATGATACTGTCAGAGAGTAGCTGAAGGTACAAATTATAGAATACCAGGTAATAGGAAGCTTAGGAAGGAGCATAAGATAGTACAGATTATTAAAAAGAAGAGAGATAGTGGAGACAGGTTGAAACAGGTACAGTGAAGGTAAATGAGTGAGAGCCCAGGAGTAAGGAGGTGGTGGTCACTCTGAAGTGTGGAGTGACTTAAGTTCAGACTTCAAAGGTGGAGTAATTCTAGGAGGTGGTCAAGCAAAGGATATGTGGTCATGGATGTGTTCCATGGTCCATGTGTGACCTTCTACCCGCATCTCCAGCTCTGTACATCTGCTCTCAGCCAGAGCAAACATACACACCCAAGTCTTGGGTGGGAAGATGAGGGCCAGAGTCCATCTGGGTCCTGGTATAAGTGTACAGCCAGGATCCCTGCCTGCCAGTTGTCCCAGTACATGCAAAATATGTACTGTGTTTAGGCTAGGCATATGCCCCTTCCTGGCTCATGAACCCTGTGGAGTGCTCTGTGGCCCTCCCCATACTTTGCTTGTAGCTGAGCCTCCTACCCCAGCCCATACGGTGATGGCTGAGACCCATGATGTTGGCACTCTTCACAGGAAGGAGCCTGCAGGGTACTCTAAGGCTGGTCCATCTGGGCCCCTGTAGGAGCCTGTCAGGCCTACCTGCACCACCTGTCTCCAAATAGCGCTGAGCAGGAAGCTGGGATAGGGGAATAGGAGGAGCAAAAACTGCAAAATAGAGCAAGTCTCTTTCCCTGCCAGACCTTGCCCTGATTCTAGAGCTGCAGGTACAAAGAAATGTGGCAGGAGACTAGAAGGGCAACCAGGGATGAGGGGTGGACTGTGAGAAGGGCCAGGTCTGAGCTGCCCAACTCTGCTCTTCTCTATTCTTAACCTTGGGTATTTGGCACATGCAAAGAGGTGGGATATAGATAACCTGAGGGAACCACTCTCCTAACCACTTTCCTGCCCCAAAGATGTTTTTATTGGGACAGGGGAGGGCAGAAGGCAGTGATGGGGGCTGCGTCTTCGAAGGATCTGAGTCTTCAGAGTGGGAAGATGAGGAAGCCAGAGAAACTTGAGTATTTCCAGCCACCTAGCAGATTCCCCCGACGTAGGCGCAGGGACACCCGGTCCCCAGGGTCCAGGGGAAGCAACACAGAGCTGGTGGCCGCCTCCCGGGTCACATCAGGATCATTGGCAAAGGCTGAGATGACAGGCCATGTATTCAACATCAGGCTTACCTGGGGAGGGGAGCCCAGTTAGCATCCATCCCCCACACCCTAGCTCAAGACCCTCCCTTTGCCAAGGGCTTCCTCTCCAGAACCTGGGGCTTAATGGACTCTCCTGGTAGTGCTGAGGGGTGGCCAGTGTTTGACTCTAAACATTATCCACACTGTGGTAGGCAGGACCTTTCCTTGCTTGCTCCTGGCCACCAGGACACAAGTCAGTGGAGAGTTTGCCCAGGGCTCAGTGGTGCTCCACTTATGCCCCCTCCCCTCCCTCAAGAGCTGGGGATGGGCCCAGCATTCAGATCACCTGCACAGTTTGGCGATTGTACACCTTCACCACATGGAACCGGAAGCTGTAGACTCCCCGGACAGGGGCCACGAAGGAGCCTGAGGCCCGGTCAAAGCCACCGCCCTCATTTACCAGGACCTGGGGGAAGCAGATCCTGCTGAGTGGGGCTCAGGGATGCCAGAGTGGGGCTCTCTGGGATAACACTGGGGATGGGACAGGGGCAATGAGTATGGGAAAGAAGAGGTGGTAAGCAGGAGTGAACAGGAATGTACAGATTTAAAAAAAAAATGGTAAAAGGGGCAAGGAGGAGTGTGTGTATGTGTGAAGGGAAGGGAAACAATCAGTGGCGACATTAGGGGAAGATGTAGGGAGTTTTTTCTTGAAGGGTCAGCAAAGTGGGCTTGGACAGTTGATTGCAGGTCTTTGTGGTTCTTTGGACAGGGGTGCAGGGTTGGTGGAGGGGAGGTTACCTGGTCAAAGTAGATAGCCCCGCTGGTGCCGTTGCCGGTCTCCCCTGCTGGCTCATGGTGGTGGCTTCTAACTGCAGCAAATGCCACTCTTCCGGGGGGCGCCTCTCCCAGGGCTGCTCCCCCGGGGCCCCCTGCAGCAGCTCGGCCAGGCTCACAGACCACCAAGCATTCACCCTCCAACAGGACAGGCTCTGACCCCTCCTGGGCCAACCCTGCTCCCAGGGCCAGAAGCAACAGGGCTACGGGCAGCTCCAGGCTGTGCAAGGGATCTGGCAGCCAGTGTCTTCTTGCTCCCAACATGGCTGAGTGCCTCTTCGGCTCACAAGTGTCTTATCTTCTGCCCCCTTTCTGCTGCCCTGGGCACTCACTACCCCTCACCCTGCTCCTCTGCCCTCTCTCTGGGTCTCACTGTCATCTGGCCTCTGGACCTCCCTCTCCATACCTCTCTGTGTCCTGCAGCTCTGTCCTGCCTCCCACTCGGTTACTCCTGCTGTCACTGCAGTTCCCTCCTCCTTGGCAGAACATGAAGTGACAGCAGTTGGGTTCTGGGAGGGAGAAGAGGGATGAAGACAGGACAGAAAGGCTAAGCCAGAGTTCTAGGTTGGCCCCTATGGATGGGCTAGTACGGGAGGCTCCACCTGGGGTGATGAAGAACTGGGTATAGGTGAACATGTGAGATACAGTTCTAAAGCTCCTTCCTTTCCTCCTCTATTCAAAACCCCTCACAAAACAGCAGCCCTTCCCTGTAGCACCTTTACATTTAGTAGGAGAGAGGGGTGTCCTGTCTTCCCCACAATTGTTTTAATGGAAAGGGCTTGCACCAAGAGCCTCACAATCTTGTGACCCTGGCCCAGTCACTTTCTCTTTTTGGTCTTCCATATTTTCATGCCAAGGGATCAAACTTTCAACGAATGATTCCTCTTTCCCAAGAAACAAATGAGCAGAACACGCAAGAACCCCGAAGGCCCAGAGACAAACGAGAGCTGGAAGGGAAGCCAGAAGGCTGAGTGGCCTAGAGCACTGCCGGCGACAGGACTGGGCGGAGTCGGGGACGCGGGGCGGTGGCTAGAGAAGGCCCGGCGCGCGCTGGGGAGGAGGAAGCGCGCCTCTGGGCTGCGTGCCAGGGCAGTGCAGGCGCGGTCGGGGGAGGAGCGGGGCTGACTCCGCCCTAACCCAGGAAGTGACTCAAAAAAATAGTTTGAGAGGTGGAGAGAAGAGGTGCTCGTTGGGTGAGGAACCCAGGAAGGCCCGCCCAGATTCGGGCCCCATGCCCTAGTCCTCTGGGCTGGGGGCACGGGCGAAGCTGGGGCCCTGGGGTACCAAGAGGCGCCAGCGGGACGTGAGGCTGGAGCCCGCGGCTTAGGCGGGTAGGCGCCCTTCCCTGGCGCCCTGGAGCCAGCAGCCGGGCACGCGCGGCGGCTACGGGGAGCACGGCCTGCCCCGGGGCAGAGGCCGCAGGGGACTGTGGCAGGGGCGGACCCCGGGTGGGGCGCGTGGCGTGACGGAGTGGGGCGTGGACAGCTGGGGGAGGGGCAGGCGGAGAAGTGGGAGTGGCTAGAGCCTTGGAAATGGCAGATGAGGGGCCCCAGAGTACAGCTCAGTACAAGTCCCTGGTGAGGATTCATTAAGAGTCTTGAAACCTGAAGATTGCAGAGTACCCCGAGGAGAGAGACTCTTTCGATTCCTGCTTACCTCCAGACGGAGCTGGCCCCCCACCCTTCCTGCTCAGGCCTGTGGTCATTCTCCAGAGGGCATCCGCCCATCCCAGATAGCCTTGTTTACCATGACTTCTTCTTAGGAAGATAGAAGGCCCATGTTTGGATACTCTGACACTCTTCCTACTGCCAAGAAGGACTCAGATACTGGTTAGCGATTGTTTACCAGAATTGTAACTAGGTGCTACCTGTTGATCTTTGATATAGGTGGGGAGATCAAGTTTTGGGTTGAGGGGATAGTGAGGCTCTGAGCTTCCTTCTTCCCTCCAGGACAAGGGGAAGAAGCCATGCCTACTTTGGGGGCTGGTTCTTCAACCCCTGACCGCTTTGCGGTGTCTGCGGAGGCAGAAGACAAGGTTCGGGAGCAGCAGGCCCGTTTGGAGCGCATCTTCAGCGTGGGGATGAGTGTCCTCCCTAAGGACTGCCCTGAGAATCCTCACATCTGGCTGCAACTTGAGGGCCCCAAGGAGAACGTCAGCAGAGCGAAGGTGAACCCTCCCCTGATCCTTCCCAGGGAGCCCTTCCGCACAGAGGCAGAGTTCTAGGAGGGGGCAGGGGACGATCTAAACTTCATCATTCCACTAGCAACCTCAGTGTCCCTGAGCTTTGAGGCACTTTCTAGCTCTGTTTTCAGTTTTGGTTTCATTTCTGCTGTGACAGCTCAGGTTCTGCAAGGACTTATTTGTGCTCTTTTGAAGAATAGAGATAATCCAGCTGAGCAAGTGGGCCCTGCCAAGGAATTCACTGTATGTGGGAGGTCACTGTATGTGGGTAGGGTGGGGGTGGGGAGGTCCAGCCACATTGCTTCCTTTGGAGTCAGGCAGGGGTTCTAATATGGCTCCACTACCTGCCTGCCTTGTGATCAAAGTCTTAGTTTCCTTATTTATAAAATGGGAAAAATAGCAGGCATCCTGGAGTTTGGGAATAATGAGGGGTAGATTCAAGCAGTTTCCTTTTCTGACATTCCCTTCTAGGAGTACCTGAAGGGTCTCTGCAGCCCAGAACTTCAAAATGAAATCCACTACCCCTCCAGACTGCACTGCATCTTCCTGGGAGCCCAGGGTTTCTTCCTTGACTGTCTGGCTTGGAGCACATCAGCCCATCTGGTACCTCAGGCACCTGGTTCACTGATGATCAGTGGCCTAACTGAGGCCTTTGTTATGGCTCAGAGCCGTGTGGAGGAGCTAGTGGGGCGGCTGAGCTGGGACTTTCAGCCAGGACCATGCCCCAGAGCCTCTCAGAGTGCTGGAGTGCTGAGTGACTTCTCTGCCTTGCTGCAGCCCTGGGAGGATGTCCACACAGAGGCCCTGCTGCAGCTGCCCCTGGCTGTTCAGGAGGAGCTTCTGAGTCTAGTGCAGGAGGCGTCCAGTGGGCAGGGGCCACAAGTGTTAACCTCATGGCAGGGGAGAAGCCCAGACCTGCTGAGTACTCAGCATTGGGGAGTCAGGGCTTTCCAGAGTGGAGGTGGGGAGTTGTTGCGCCCTGGATCTGTGGGGTGCAGAGAATCAAAAGGAGCAGAGGGAGGGAGTCATACTATTGAGAAGGATCAAGGGAAACAAGGTGGTTCCAAGGAGATGGATTTGTGGTGGAAGGAGCTGCCTAAGGAAGAGGCCTGGGACAGAGAAGTGGCTTTCAGGCCATATTCAGCAGGTGGAGGGACAGGGGAAGATGGGCCCCTGAAAAGAAAGGCCCTGGGAAAGGAGGGGGTACCTCAGGAAAGAGGTGGGTTTAGTGTCCAGGGTGAGTTTTCTGGTGCCCCTGGTCCCTGTCAGAGGACAGCTCAAACCCGGGGAGCTTCCCTTCTTCAGCGGTTGCACAATGGAAATGCCTCACCTCCAAGAGTACCTAGCCCTCCACCTGCGCCCGAACCCCCATGGCCCTGTGGAGACCGGGGAGATAAGCAGCAGGCCGTGGCTCGAGGTCGAGGGTTTCCTGGGAGACGAGGTACCCGTGGGGGCAACTTAGTGACTGGCACACAGCGTTTCCAGGAGGCCCTGAAGGATCCTTTCACCTTGTGCCTTGCCAATGTGCCTGGCCAGCCAGACCTCCGCCATATTGTCATTGATGGCAGCAATGTGGCCATGGTGTGAGTACCTAGCGGGGCTGGTGTTGGGGAGGGAGGATGATACAGTCATCTTTATGTGTCCTGGGGACATGGCTGAGGGGCTAGTACTGCAGTGAGGCTGTCAGGCCCCTCACCTGGGTTTCCCCCTGTAGCCATGGGCTCCAGCACTACTTCTCCAGCCGGGGCATTGCCATTGCTGTGCAGTACTTCTGGGACCGTGGCCATCGTGACATAACCGTCTTTGTGCCTCAATGGCGCTTCAGTAAGGATGCCAAGGTTCGAGGTGAGTTGGGTTTGATCATCTGTGTCCTGGGATTGGCTCTGTTTCCACCTTGAGGAGAACCCTGTTTGTTCTTTTTCTATAGAGAGTCACTTCCTGCAAAAGCTGTACTCCCTCAGCTTGCTCTCCCTAACTCCCTCACGAGTCATGGATGGAAAAAGGATCTCCTCCTATGACGACAGGTACTGCTACCCTCCTTGCCTGAGCTTTGATTATTTAAGGAGTCCAGTAGGAGGTTGAGGGAGAGAGAGAATCTCCTGACCATTTTCTTTGTCTCTAAGCCTCAGGAGTAGGGGCAGAGAGTTATTCCTCCATGTGCTCTTATGACGGGTTAGGTAAACCTCCCCCGTAGCTGAGATGGGATAGACTTAGACAACCGTGTTTGCCCCTTCATCATTCTTCTTCATTCATCAACCTGAATGCCATCTTGTATTTGTGTAGTGCCTTCCTGTCTAGGAAATACTGGTTTATTGGAAAGATGGGAAAGCTACTGACACAAATAGCTGACAGATGTGTTTTTATAAGCTAAATTTCCAAATGTGTAGAGAAACTCCCCCAACATTCTGGAGAAACCAGAGTAAACAATTAAAAGTATGAGGAAGAAACACAGCCTGTGAACAATAGGACTGTACAAACTGGTATGGTAGAAAGATCATAGGACGTAGAATTTAAATATCTGAATTTGAGCTTCAAGTTCACTTCTCATTGATTTCATCTATAGGCCCATACCTTAGTGAATTAACCTCTTTGGCTCAGGTTCCTCCTCCATGCATTTGTCTTCCTTATGAATATCAAAAGAAGAAAAGTAGTGTTCTTGCCTCACTCAACGGGGTAGGCAAGAGTCCATCACATTTCCTTGTATGGACCAAATTATGTGTTGCATAAAATATTATCTCTGTTTTAAAGCTGTGGACACAAAGGGTAAGAATGGTGAACTACCCTAACAAAGGAAAAATAGACCTCAGAACTGCCAGATAGTTTAAATCCAGGGCATATTCCAGCTGCAGTATACATACATGGTGTGGGGAAAAGGGCAGATTTGAAAGCTAATTAACCAGTTTAAAAATTTTACAACTATAGGTTCTTTGTCCTTTAGGATATTATTTAGTTTTAAACAGTTAATTTCAAACTGCGGTGATTATACATTTTGTCTTTTCAAAACTTAACCAACTGTGGTGACACGCGTGGCTCAGGAGGCTGAGGCAAGAGGTTGTGAGCTCAAAGCCAGCCTCAGCAAAAGCAAGGTGCTAAGCAACTCAGTGAGACCCTGTTTCTAAATAAAATACAAAATAGGGCTGGGGGGTGTGGCTCAGTGGTCAGGTGCCCCTAAATTCTATCACTGGTACCCCCCTTAAAACAAACAAACAAATAAAACTTCTTATGAATAAATACTGTTTTACAAAAGGCAGTCCACTTCCTTCTAGTGGAATTTTGTTTTATGCTGAGATTTCACAGTGAATCCAAGATGGGACCTTCTTTCCACACCAGCACTGAAAGAGAATTGAGACTGAATTGAGTCAGTTTTAATGTCTTTTAAAGGCATGTGTTTGTGCAGTTGTGTAGGACCTGATGGGCAGATAACAATGTAAATTGGGAGTTTTTCCTGGTAACAGTGAATAAGCACCGTGCTACACAGCATAGGCTGACAAATGAACAACATGCCATGTAATGCAATAATAGTAAAATATGCTTAACTGGAAAATACCTTTTGTATACCATCTGTATACCTTATACATAAATTTGCTTCCCAGCCAGAAACTCAGAACCAGACTTTGCTCCTGCCTAATCCTGTCAAATACTAATTGCCTGCTTAGTGTTAGGTACATAGTCTGCAGAAGGAACATGGGGAACAAGATCTGACTCTTGACTTCAAAGAGCCAAAAGAAACTTATAAATCAGATACTACAGCAACTCAGAGGAAGGGAGCCCTCTCTGACTGGTGTTTTGCAGGAGTGGAGAGTTTGTGAATTGTTTGTTGAGAAGGATGTGGATGGGCTGGATCTCTTGGTTTCTAAAACTGTTAACAAGACTGCTTTCACCACATGAATCTACGTGATGGGATCAGAATTGCTAAAGTGAGACACCAGGCATCGATATTTTTTTGGTACTAGGGATTTTACCTAGGGGTGCTTTACCACTGAATCATATCCCCAGCCCTTTGTATTTTTTATTTAGTGAGACAGGGTCTTTGGTAAGTTGCTTAGGGCCTCGCTATGTTGCTGAGGCTGGCCTCAAACTTGCAATCCTCCTGCCTCAGCTTCCTGAGTCGCTGGAATTACAGGTGTGCTCCACCATGCCTGGCTTACCTTTTTAAAGTTCCCCTGGTGACTGTGTTTATCAGCAAGGTTTGGGGAACACTTTCCAGATGGAGGGAATGGTTTGAGAAACATAAAGTCAGAGACAGTGTAGGCCATGTTTAGAGAGCAGGGTGTAATCTGATAATTGATTTTGACTGGAGTTGAGGGAACATCAGGGAATAATGGGAGAGAGAAGTCTGTGAGGGTGCTGTAGAACTGGATTCTAGAGGGCTTTAGCTGCCAGGCCTGAGCATGTGGACTTAGTAGATGAAGGCAGGTGTGGGAAAGCTCTGTACAGGGAAAGAGCATGTTTTCTTGCGGGAGGGCAGGCGAACCAGGAGGGTGGTGAAGGGTGAGAGGTAGGTGAATGGTGAAGAGGCTATGTGGTATCTCACCTGTAACATCTGAATTATTAAGGTGGTAAGGAAGGAAGGGGGCTTCCAGAGTGGAGGGCGTTTCAGAGGATGAACATAGTGGATTTTTAAGTGATTGGTTGGGTAGGATGGAAGACAGAGTCAGTATCAGATCTGTCTCTTACAAATGAGGCACAAAATGTTGGGTGAAGGGTTGTGGCTAGTGGATGGGATGCTGTTGGGGGACCACCTAGGATTCATCTTTATTTCTGCTCTAACCCATGATACCTGTATCCAGTAAGCCACCTGTAGCAGTCAGTGTGAGGTAGGGACGTCATTTCTCCATCCCCAGAAGTAAGTCACAGGGATTGGTAATATTCTGGGCCTTGAAGACTGCTGGAATGTTGCCATGGTTTTTGAGACAGGTTCATGGTGAAGCTGGCAGAAGAGACCAACGGGATCATTGTCTCCAATGACCAATTCCGGGACTTGGCAGAGGAGTCTGACAAGTGGATGGCAATCATCAGAGAGCGGTGAGGGAGATCTCCCTTGAGACTAGGGCACGGACTCAGACCTTTCTCTAAAAGCAGCTCTCCTCTGGCCACTGGGTGAGAACTCTGGGAAGGGGCTTGAAATTGCCTGAAAGGATGATAGCCAGGAGATTCTGGTAGTGGTGGTCTCAGCTCTCTGAAGGTGGATAAGGGCCTCTCTGTGACCACTCTTTCTCTTCTTCATCTAGCTTGCTGCCTTTCACCTTTGTGGGAAACCACTTCATGGTTCCTGATGACCCACTGGGGCGAAATGGCCCCACCCTGGATGAGTTCCTGAAGAAGCCAGCCAGGTAATGCCCCAGACTCCCTGCCAGCAGCTCTGAGCTCTCTTCTCTCTGCAGACCTGGAGACTTGAGTGGGAGGGTGACTTCAGTTTGGGACAGCTTCATTCTACAGCAGTTTGAATTGCTTTGCACATGGCCTTTAAAACCTCTGTAAGGGGCTGGGGTTGTGGCTCAGTGACAGAGCGCTTGCCTCGCATGTGTGAGGCACTGGGTTTGATCCTCAGCACCACATAAAAATGATCAAATAAAATAAAGGTATTGTGACTATCTACAACTAAAAAACAAATCATTAAAATAAATAAATAAATAAAACCTCTGTAGGGAATCCTGACACAGAAGTCCTGGTTGGGAGGGAAACTCCTGTTTCAGGAATGTCAATGTGTTTGATGAAGTTCTTTGGAAAATGGTTGTTTGTACTAATAGCCAGTTGTATTCAGCATGCTCTCTGCTGGACCATTAAGTAAATGGTTAATTTAGGGCTAGAACTACATTATTAATGGCCAGGATCACCTTGTAAAGGGTCTATCTCCCTTTCAGAAGTGGACTGATACTGCCACTCAGTGGTCAGTTTAGGGAACTTAAGAATTGTTCTCCCAGAGTCAGGAATAGGCAGGCTAGTTAAGAGGAGGAGGCGCACTGAGAGCTACTTTCCCTCTAGATGCTCATCACCTCTTTTTGTTCTGCTTCTTCTCAGGAAACAGGGATCTTCTAAGGCTCAGAATCCTTCCAGGGCCTTTGCAGAACATGGTAATCAGCAGCAGGGGAGGGAAGAGGAAAAAGGTACTGGTGGCATTCGGAAGACCCGGGAGACCGAGAGGCTCCGGCGCCAGCTGCTGGAGGTGTTCCGGGGTCAGGATCACAAGGTGGATTTCATCCTGCAGCGGGAACCATACTGTCGGGACATCAACCAACTGTCTGAGGCCCTGCTTGGTCTCAACTTTTGAGCCTCACTTGCTTTTGTGGCTGTTGCCCTGTTTAGCCTCCCTCAGCGCAGCACCTTCTGGGAGAGTCCCTCTGCTGTTCATACTCTGACCCAGGCTTACTCTGAGTTGGTGATTTGGGTCAGGGAAGCACTGGGGAAGAATATGTAAGTGAGGGACATTTCTTGCCTGGGCCCTTTGGGGGCAGATCCACAAACTGACCCAATGTCAAGAGAAGACCGCAGCCAGCTCTCAAGAGGTCTGCTCAGCTTTAACTTTTCAACCTTGTTTTTAACACAGGGCTTCAAGAAAGAGTAAATCCTGGAGATTGGGACTGTGGCTGAGTTGGGCAGAGGCTAGGGTGGGCCAGAGGTGGCAAAAAAGCTGAGTCTTTCCTCTCCCTTGCTGCTGCTTTGGTTGGCCAGAGGACAGGAAGCTCTGCTGGCTGGGCTGTCTCCTGGGAGTGTCAAAGGGAATGCTGGACCCTGGAGGGGCTATAGAGTATTGGGTTGCAGGGAGGTAGCAATGAGCTGGTGACAAAGGCAGAGGGAGACCTGGTTTCCAGTCCAGATATGCCTGCCTGTGACCTTGAGCTGCTTGGCCTTTACTTCTGCCTGTAAATCAGAAGTAAAACTACCTGTTGGGAGGAGATATGAGATCATAGAGGAAAGCTCCTTGGAGGAAAGTACTTAGACAAAGTCTCAGGTATGTCTGCCTGTGGCTGCACAGGCTCCCTAACCAAACCTCACTTTCAGAGATGTGGGTCCTCCATGTCCAGGGTCCATGCCCTAGATTTTAACACTGTGTCCTTGTATAACATGCCCTATAATGGCTGCATCCCTTTTGGGCAACCTTTAAAGTCCACATTTACAAGATAGTTCAATTAGGACTGACTGTTTGCATTACCGAAATACTCTCAGGGTTCCTATAAATGGCAGCTCTTCTGTTATATTCAAGGGTTTGTTTACAGTATATATGTCAAAAAGCCCAGTTAGATCCTCTAGCTGAAATGTTGACAGCATTCACCAAATTGATGAAGCCATGCTGTGCAATGACAATGTAGATGTGATCGGCCCCTAAAGTTTTCATTATGGAAGACATAGGTTGCTTAAAGTAAGGCACAGTTCTGTTTGGTGTATGTGTGGAGGTGGGAGGGCTATGAAAGTTTTATTAGATGAACCAATTATCTAGAAAATGAAAACTGAAGAATCAGAGTTGGAAGGATCTGATTGGCCACAAGACCAAACCCACTGTCCATCATAACATGTTCTTTCCATCCTGATTCCCACAGGACAGTGCCTTGTATCTGTTTGAATTCTTCCTCTTCTGGGGCATTTTCTTCCAGCAAGGCAGCACATTCCTCCTGGGGACAGTATTAATCAGTAGTCTGTCTTCTAGTGTAGCCTAAACTATGCTTTTATGTTACTGCTCCTTCCCCCAGGAATAACAGTCAACTTTCCTAGAGTCCAAGACCAAATAAAAAGATAAGACAGTTACCCTGAGTTCTGTTTGTTTGGGCCCCCAGTCTCCCTGAATAAGAACCTTTTCAGGCTTACTCCTCTGCTTTCCTGACTGGCACAGGAAGTTGTGTACTGCATGGGGAGCAGAATGAGGGAGAAGGGTCCCTAGGTTCCAGTGTCTGCCTGTGTCCCCAGTGGTGATTTATATCCCTAGATTGTATTGACTCATGCTAGGAGCAGGTATGTTGGAGACCTTGGCCTATAAATCACAAGTAAACTACCTGTTGGGAGGAGAAATGAGATCATGGAGGAAAGCTCTTTGGAGAAAAAAGTACCTAGACAAAATCTTAGGTGTGTCTCCCTGTGGCTGCACAGGCTCCCTAACCTGTGCAGGGAAGTTAGGGAGGTAACAATGACTCAGACAATCTACAGTACCCTGGGAAGAAAGGAGATGATGGGTTAATACGGTCCAAACTGGGATCTGGGAGGATTACTTCTGGTTAAGCTGTGGCAGATATCACAAATTCAGGTAGATTAGAAGGATACTAGATGAACATTTGGGATTTACTTCTTCCTAATAGGGTCAAGTTTGTTGTTTGTGATTGGTTCTCTGCCCTTTTTACTTTCTATGACTGTGAGAATACCCAGAGGACATAAGTATTTTCTACCCTTTTGTGCTGAAGGCCTTGGTAGAATGAAGTGGCCCCCGTTAGTTGAAAGGCAAATCCTAGGCTTCGTGTTCTACTGCAGTTTGATAAATTGGGACCAACATGTGATTGCTTTTATGAATTCACCACCATTTGATGACACAGGTTGGAGGTTGCCCTACAATGGGGTTTCATTTCTTCCTCTGTTGGCATCCTAATGGCACTCTGAATGGGTGTGCAGGATGACCACAAAACTTACTGTAAATGGATTATCATTTTTCTTGTCTTCTAATCTCTACTTTCATCATAACTTCATGCCCCAGAACTGTGATCCGGTCTTTTGGTTACTGAGGGACCAAGAAGAGAAAAGGTGAGGAGAGATGTTGCCTATTATAACTTTCAAAACTCTATGTAGAGAAATGAATCATCTGGGGTGACAGTCCTTGAAATAAATTCCAGGAGAATCTAGGTCAAAGAGATGAGCAGAAGCTAGAGATAATTTATCTTTATTGCCAAAACTACAGAGCATTTTCTACACAGAACTGGGACAACAATGTAGCACATAAACCAAACTTGGAAATTCTTTTACAAGGAGTGGAAAAAGTTAAGGTCCTAACTTGATGAGATTATAATCTTGAAACTGTGGAGAGTTTCTCACTTAAACAAGGTGCAAGATCAATGGAGAAGAAAGAAGAATGGGAATGAAATCTCTTAAGATCCAGATCAGTTTTTAATCTCAAGTAGAGGACCACCTGAGCCAATTCACAGGAAGCCTCTGCTGAGGGATGGGCTTCTGCCCCTGCTATGCACCTCCCTACTTAGGCTACAATTTCCTTCAAGGCAGCCCCCAGCTCTGGGAAGGAATATTGGTAGCCAGTGGCCAGTGTTCGCCGCGGAACTACCTTCTGGCCCTCTAGCAGCATGATGGCACGCTCTCGCCCAAAGACAGCTCTCACCACAGTGGCAGGGAGAGGGATAAAGGCTGGGCGGCCCAGGGCAGTGCCCAAGGCCTGGGCAAACTCAGCATTGGTGGTTGTGGAGGCTGGAGCCACTCCATTCAGGATGCCCTGCACGTGATTTACTTCAAGGGCATGGGTTAGGATTCCTGCCAGGTCCTGGATGTGAATCCAGGGGAAGAACTGGTTGCCTGAGCCGATGGGGCCCCCCAAACCCAGGCGGAAGGGCAGTAGCATGTGGCCGATGGCACCACCTCCACGGCCTAGCACAACCCCTAGAACAGGCAAGAGAGATGGTATAGAGAGTCCTTTCAGCCTTAAAGCAGCCTGAATGCTGTTCCCATTTCTCAGTTTTCCCTTTTTTACTCCTCGTGTGGACCCAGTTCTATAATAAGAGTTGAGGGTTATGGCTCTCCTTAGACTTTCTACTCTCCCCTCCGCAGACTGACGAGAGTGATGGCATACTCTCTTTGTAAATTTAGCTCCTTGGATATCCTCCCTACCCACAGCCTAGAGAAGTCATTCCACCCTGTCTGGGACCCAGGCCCTTGGTTCTCACCAGAGCGTACCACCACCTGGCGTGTAGAATCTCCAGGAAGCCTGGCTGCAGCTTCCCATTTGGTTACAAGGTTGGAGAAAAAGTCAAAATCCCCTCCTGGGCTGTCCTCATCATACTCTGCAGTCAGGCTGGGACGGTAGTAAGCTGTTGGAAAGCACTTATTTGTTCTGGGTGTCTTTTTCCTGCCTAGTCCTAGACTAGGCAGCTAAGACTCCACTTGGCCTCTCCTATTAGACCCCATGAGAAGAAAGCCATGGATACCTTCCCCTTGAGCTTCTTTATGACCTGACTTGGTCCTGCTTGGAAGAACTCTCAACTTTGGTTGCAGGGCTACTCTCAGAGGCTGCTAGCATAATAGTGGTTAAGAATAGAATACATGGGACTGCCTGAGTTTTAATTCAGCTCTGACTTTTGACAAATTATGTATGGAATCTCTGTATGGAATTTATGCATCTTTAAAAATGGAAATAATAGTACCTACCTCATAGGGTTGTTGTGAGGATTAACAATGTAATATGTATAAAACACTTAGAATCGTGGCTGGTATGTATGTTATAATGAAATACAACAGTCAAGAGCTCTTCCTAAAGAACTGTGGTATGAAAAGCAAGGGACTTGGGAGGAGGTGGGCTTTTCCTTGGCCTTAGGAGTGGTATCACTCCCCCTCTTTCTCTGAGATTCTTCATTTCTCAGTGAAAGGACACAGGTCAGGAGAAACATGCATGGATCCAGGGCCTAGAATTTACCATATCTGGGAATGAGCAGCTCTCCAAAGTGTATACAGCTACAAGGGCTGAGCTACCCTCTTAATCTGCACCCCATTTCCCTTGGCTAATGTAAGAAGTTGGTGATTTAGGGGCATACCTACACCTGTGACTAAGATCCAGGCTTTGGGGGGTTGTGGGGCTTTGGTGATGGCTTTAGCTAGCATTTGGGTGGTCTCCAGGCGGCTGCTGAGAACATCTTTTTGGAAAGCTTCATTCCACCTGCAGGAAAAATAAGAGGAAATGAAAAGCCACTAAATACATACACACATCTTCTCCTCTCTGTCTCTGGGACTTATTCTATACCAATTTCTAGTAAAATCCTGCATGTGGCTAAAGAAAAAATGGTTCATGTGTACTGAAAGTGGAAAAGACATATCTTCCTTGGGCATTTTATACGTGAGAACTTAAATCAACTGGCTGACTGGGTAGGGGAGCAGGTGGGCATAGACGGGTGGGGTGGGATGGGATGAATACTCTAGCATATCTTCAGTTCTCATTCTGACAGCTCCATTAGTTCCAGCTTACAGGGTTCCTTTGTACCCTCTCTTCTTTCTGCTCTGGGGGATATTTTATTTGTTTTAGGGACCCAACTGACCTTCGGAGAGGGTTGAGGATGTTCTCTCCGGCCAGGTTGACAGCGACATCACAGCTGGGCAGCCCAGATCTAGCAAGCTCATCCTGTCAGAGAAAAGCTCACAGTGCCTGCGGGCCCCGCCCTGTGCTGACAAACTGCCTCCCTACCCAGTTTCTAGGGGTTGGGCATACCCACGTGATCCGACCCGGTCTGGGCTGTCGGGAGACCAATGTCACTTCGTGGCCTCTGGCTTTCAGCAGCTGGGTTAGGGCTGTTCCAACGAAGCCCGTTCCACCACCTGGTCGGAGAATACAAACTGTTTATGCCTCGGGGATGAAGGCTGATGCTTTGCTTCCCCTACTCTCCCCTCGAGACAGGAGACACAGGTCACAGGGGTCAGGGAGGTTCGGTTTTTCGGGCTAGGAGACTAAGGTCAGGTTGCTTGTGGAGGAAACTGTGCCCTTTCGGCAAGGCCTCCCAACCCTTCATCTGTGGTAAGCTTTTTTCCCTCCCTCACCCACGAGCACCCGCATAGCGATCAGATCCTAACCCGCCTGCGCAAGATTTAAAGCTCCCCCTCCTTCTCTCAACGCGACTATGACCCTCTGCGCATGCGTATTTTGGAAAACGCGCTCCAATTGGGAGCTGACAGGGTCGAGACTGGGCGTGGCCCTGCCCAGCAACCCGGAAGAGTTTACAAAGACAGACACTGAATTTTACCGGGAGGCGTAGGGCGGGGAAAGAGGCAGAGGAAGGAAGTTCAATCTCACTCATCGCCCAAAGGAACCAATAAAAACTGAGACCCGAAGCTCAAAACTACTGGAACTGCAGAAGTCTGCAAATCCGGTTGGTTAGGTGGGTCAGGAATACACCGCTGACAGGGATTTTTTTTCCTACTCGTCCTATTTTATCTTCTCACTGTTCTGGTCTCGTATTTAAAGAGTTACAAAATTCCTCTCATTCTTGATCCACTCCAGCCTTTTGTTTTCTCCGGCCCATCTTCTGTTTTTTTACCTTCATAGCTCTTCTGCTCAAAAGTGTTTTCCGCCCAGTGCGATTGCACAAGCCTGTAATTCCAGCGATTGGGGAGGCTGAGGCAGGAGAATTACAAATTCGAGGCCAGCCTGGACAATTGAAAACAACAACAACAACAACAACAACAAAACCACTGGGGTTATAGCTCAATGGTGGAGCATCCCTGAGTTCAATCCCCGGCCAAACGCAGACATACATACACACGTGTTTTCTATTTTGTACTTGACAATACACGGTCTGTTTTCTGCCTTTGTCATTCATTTCCTCTCTCCAAGAAAACAATTTTCCCATGTGTCACCAAATCTAACGCCTAGTTTTGACTATTTTTCTTGACCTCTCAGGATCACTGGGCACCTACCAACTTCTCTCTCTTTAGAAATGCTGTCCCTTGACCTCTCTGAAAAACCACACTTTCTTCTGGGCCTTTCTGTTAACTCTTCAGTCTCCATTGCTTGCTTTATCTCCTTTAAATTCTTAAAATATTAGTATTCCTCAGAGCTGGGTCTTAGGACTTCTTTACCCATCCTGTGCTTTCTCACAAATATCTACATCTGAGTTCAGTTACTAGTTTTTTACAGTAGCTTCTCCATCCCAAATCTCCTGTGCAATTCAGATTTGTCCGCTGACCTCTTGACTCCTATAGAAAACTTCCCACTAGAGATCTCTTCTTGGTTGCCTGAAAACCTTTGATTTTACTTACCAAATATCTCCCAGATCGGTTTCTCTCTGTGTCTGCCACTACAACCTTCATTCCAGCTATTCTTCTTTTCTAAATTCTTGTAATAGGCTTCTAATAGGTATTCCTACTTAGTCTTTCCTCACCATACTATTGCAAGCCGAGTGATAATAGAATAACATGTGGAAGGAACACTACAGTGATCCTGAAACATTTCCAAATATAAAATTCCTGGATATGTTGGTTAGAATTTAACATACCTCCATTTGAATGCATTGTGAGGTTTTCCAGAAAAATAAAGGAAATCTCTAGAGACCAAAAAGCAAAGAGTATTTGGGACTGAGGCTAACATGAAGATGCTTTGCTTGGTCAAACTTCAGTCAGACCTTTTTTTTTTTTTAGTTGTAGTTGGACACAATACCTTTATTTTACTTATTTATTTTTATGTGGTGCTGAGGATTGAACCCAGGGCCTCACACATGCTAGGTGAGTGCTCTACTGCTGAGCCACAACCCCAGCCCTAGTCAGACTTATGAATCTTCTTTTAGGCTTATTTTTGTACTTGTAAAATCCAGTTTTCACAAAAAGCCCTACTAAGTCAATTTAGCAAGAATCCCTTCCCCTCCATATCTAGTCACTTGCAATATACTATTAGGTCCCTCATCCTCTATCACTACCCCCAGGTGATGTCTGGTAACCCTGGTTTATCTTTAGCAAGAATCATGTTAGACTGGTTTTGTCAGAATCTCCCTTTCCTTGATATTTTCTCACAACTGTAATGTTAAGCAAAAACAAAATTGTAGAAATGTACTTATACTATAATGCCATTTATTTGATGATTAAAAATAAACACTATTTTTATTGGGATGAGTAAATTTATAAAGTAAAAAGTAATGCATGGGAATGATAGAAAATTCAGAGTAGTGCTTAGTGCTCTTCACAGAATCCTCTCCTCTTCACCATCAGTCTTCTCTCCGTAGCTGCAGCCATGAAGGGCAAGCTGGGCTGTGTAGTTTTAGTGGGTACAAGGTATAACACGGATAGGGGAGACTCTGCGCCAGGACTGACAGGAAGGTTTTCCACTTTCTTTCTTTTTTTAATAAATATTTTTTAGTTGTAGTTGGACATAATACCTTTATTTTTTAATTTTTATGTGGTGCTGAGGATTGAACCCAGGGCCTCACACATGCTAGGCAACTGCTCTACCACTGAGCAACAACCCCAGCCCAGGTTTTCCACTTTTCTTAATGCAAAATGTGAGCTGGTGTTCCTTTCCTCAGCAGATAAACTGGGCTGTCCTCTAGAGAAGAAAGTGAGCCTGATATGCATTCAAATTCCAGAGGGTCATCACTGGTGTCTCTCCTCCTGATGTAATGGCTGAGGAATCAGAAACCAGAAGTTGGAAAGGCTCAACAAGAGCAAGCTATCAGGACTGCCATGGAAGCAAAAAAGGCTAAGCAGGCATTTGAAAAGGGAGCAATGACTGTTGCTAAGGCTTCCACAAGCAAAAGCAAACCTGTGAAGGTTTTGCTCCATGAGTTTGAAAACGCTAAACTGGCAGATCAGATTTTAAAATAAAGTGCCATCTAAAACTAAATAAAAAAAAATTCAGGGTTGCATTTACCTATGGAGGTAGAGTGGGAATATGATCAGGGAGCAGATAGAGGACTTGATGTTATTTCTTAGGCCAGGTGACAGGTATGTGGATATTCATTTTATTTTTCTTTGTATTTTGGTATCTCTGAAATATTTCATAATAATAAACATATAGTGGATTTAAAATTTATAGTCACATTTTGATGCGCAAGGACATAATTTTATTTTCTATAATTAAATACAACTTGCTTACAAACGATTCTCCTTGATAGTAAATTAAACTCACCCGACAAAGGTAACTGTCATTTTTAGTTTAAAACTTCTCACATTCTCAGTTTGTTAGCTTTTGTAATACTTTGTCTCTCTTCTTTCCTTCTCACAACTAGACACCTGGGTATGGCAGGTCCTCTGGTCAGTCACTGTCATTTAGTCACCAGTGCCTGGTCAGAGGATCTCATCTCATTTGGATCTTGGATATTGCTTGCTGAGACCAGCTAAGGCACAGCTGGTCAGGCCAGATCTCTTGGCATAGTATTTTGTATTCTATTTCTGATACCCCCAATTCTTGCCTTGATATCAGTGTTTGAGAATGTCCCCTAGAGGAAGAAAAATGCTTGTTTTGCCCTTTGGCTGACAGCATAGAATGTGTGGATCTTGAAACAACCAGCAATGGTTGAGGGGTCTGCTCTTCTCTTCAGGTTTATCTCTTGCTTATTTTCCATAGCTATTACTGCCAGACAATTTGCTGTGGTCCATCAGTTAGTTATATGTTGCTGGTAAGAAATTATTTCAAAACATAGTGGTTTGAAATAATTTTATTTTGTGCTCTCTGTGGGTTAGGATTTGGGAATAGTTTAGCTAGGTGATTATAGTTCAGGGTCTCTCAAGAGGTCATGGTCAAGATTTTAGCTAGGGCTGCAATCATTTGAAGACTTGACTGGGGCAAAAATATCCTCTTTCAGAAGGCTTACTCACATGCTGTTGGGAGGAGGTCTTGTTCCTTGCTGGTTGTTTCTTGCTGTGTAGACCTCTACATAGGGCTCCTTCGAGATCCTTATGATGTGGCTGCTAACTTCTCTGGAATGAGTGACTCAAGGGAGGGAGAATGAGGAGAAAGCCATAATGCATTTAATGATGTCCTAGTCTCAGAATTTGCATATAGTCATTTTTACCACAATCTGTTTATTGGAAGCGAGCCACTAAGTCCAAGGGCAGGGAAATTTGGCTGCAACTTTTGAAAGGAGGATAATTGTGGGCATATTTAAAAATCACCACAAGCTCTGTGCTGCAATTAAGGGCTTCTCTGAGGGGCTTGCAGTCTTTCAGCTATGCCTGGGAATTGTGGTGCAATCCTTGTCTGTTTGTCTTTCTTTTTTCTTTTCTTTTTTTTTTTTTTTTTGTACCAAGGATTGAATCCAGGGGCACTTAACCACTGAGTTGCATCCCCAGCCCTTTTTTTTGTATTTTATTTAGAGACAGGGTCTCATTGAGTTGCTAAGGGCCTTGCTGAATTGCTGGCTTTGAACTCACTATCCTCTTGCCTCAGTCTCTTGAGCCACTGGGATTACAGGTGTGTGCCACTGCACCTGGCCAATCCTTGTCTTTTTCATATACTCCTCTGCCCCTCTGGGTTTTAAAACATCTGCATACTTCCCTAGCTGAGCTCCTTCTCAGAGAACCAGGCAGCATTTAGAATCTAGTTTTATCTTCTCTAATTCTCTTCTAGTTCCAACTCAGGAAAAGCTTATAATGGGCAACTGCTCTGATGTCATATGGTGTTTCTTTCCTACTCTCTTGATTTATTGGATCATTTTTTTGCTCAATCTTTTCTGAATATTTTCTTCTCTGAACAAAACCTTGCTCTTGCATGTGAATTCCCTACTTTTCAGGATATTATTTATAAATGGGAAAAAAAGAAGTTAATTATCAAGTCAAAGGTGATACTTGTCTTATTTGTTCCCTTACACTGCAGAGAGAAGGAAGTCCTGGGAAGGGAAAATGCATTGGATAATAATGAGAACCATATTAATGTCACTCATGGCTGTATGCAAATACTAAATTAATGTCAACAGGAATCTTGATCTTTCTTAATTCTCAGCTCTTCCTTTTTGTAGGTTGGTATCCTTTTCAGGACCCCCCCCCCCTTTTAGAGCAAGAATGAATTCTTGGCTTCTGTTTTTAGCACAGTGACTATTTCCCTTAACCCCAGCAAAAATCTCAGATTGTCTGTCATTGGATTGATTTGGGTTACAAGCCACCTCTGAACTAAT